GAAAACGCCAATCGGGACAGGGGGGGGGGGAGGGGAATCCCCGCTAGTTGTGGTCTATTAAAGCGCAGGCTTGGCCAATGCCCATACTCCGGAGTCCGGACTGGCGTCACCCCGTTCTTCACATGCAACTGGGGTTCCACAGCTCCCCATGGCGTGATGGCAATCAAATTGAAAAATAAAAACTCTCTTTGCGTGCAGCCACAAAACACATTACAAACAACAACAGCAGCAGCAACAAAATTTCAAAAAGCTGAAAAACACACCCAAGGCATTCAGCAACAACTACAAAAACGATGTATGAAACGAAAACTGGACCCCGAAATGTCAGTTTTATTGTCCACCTTAAATTTCATGGCAGCTCTGTGTGCGATTAACCTATTCGAGTGACCTCGAGTGCCTTTGAATAGCCACTGAAAAATGATTAAAGTTCTTGACAAGAGAAAGTACTATATTTGGAGGGTAAAATTACTCTTTCAATGGAGTAATTGGAATTTGCAAATGGTGAATTGAAAGCCACCGTTGGGATACATATGCATCACCTACAAAACATCATCTCAACGAGTAATAAAGAATTTTATAACTTTAAATGCTTTCTCTTTTGTCTAAAGTGTAATGAAATGAAATACATATATCTAGTTTATAGATATATCTTACTTACTTTTGCCTATTTAGAAAAGTTTAAGCAAAGGTCAAAATAGTTGAAATAGGTTAATAGGCTGGTCTTTAAAGCTCTGTTACATTTCATTATTTAATCAAATGCAGAACTCCTGCTCCTGCTGCCTTACTCCTCCTGGGTCCTGTCACCTCCATTTTGGGGCGTCGCCCAACTACGTCTGCCATTTCTTATGCAAGCGGGTCAAAGTCAGGGCACTTGGCCCAGCTGGCGGTCCCGCCCTCCATTCCAGTGCTCTTCAGAAGCACTGGAAAAAAGTCAAGTTCAATTACATAAAACCCTTTAAAACTACGCACAAATTGTAACACTAAGGGTACTTTCACTGGGGTCTTGAACCATTTCAAAACTCTAGTTATTTGGTTAGAAATTAAAAACTAAGGCGAATTATAAGGGAATCCTACAATACTTTGAAATGTAGCAACTAAAAATTAACTCAATGAGGTTACTTAATGCTATAATTATAATTTTCTTAATAACATTTTCTTCCAGTGCGTCTCTTAACTCGTTGTCCTGTATGTACAATCCATTTGCTGACGTAATAAACCATAATAAAGAGGACGAAGCGCGTAACAGACCCGCATTGTGCCCATTTCAAGGACATCAAGCGACAGAGAGAGAGAGGAATATAAAGAAAAAAAAGATGGCTTGGAATAGGCCGAGATGTGGCGACAATTTGGCGTCTTCAGCAGGGCGTTTTTCCTGCCAGAAAAAAGAAAATTCCATCGAAATGGGCCAAGTTATGAATGCAGCTAGCAGCTTGCTCTCGCTCTCTCCTGTGATGAGCTCTTTTGTTCCTGCCTGCACTTAAATTATGAAAAGAAGGTCGGTCGTTTACCTACCCAAAAATGTAATCCATCTTTAACCTGTAACCTTTTCAAATTGGTTTATTAATTAGTTGGGCTGGCGCCTACGGTCCAGATTGGAGGGCGGAGCGCGTTCTTTAATGATGTTTCCACACTTTTGATGAAATTTTATTACACACAGCTCATTAGGACTAATGATGCTTGTTGGCTGTCAGACTTGATTCCGATCCTGAGCACACACACAAAAAAACAAAATAACTAACAATGCAACAGAAAGTTTGTTCTTAAGTTCATTAAATAATTCATTCTCATTTTAACTTTTATAAATCCTTAAACTATATAACTTTGAGCTATGATTCCTTTCTCTTTACGAGTTTATTGATTAATCAAGCCTTTATTTTTCTCTGTGTGTGCAGGGCAAAGGCTGCCAACTTGAGACGAGACCTGAGCCCGGACCTGAGATTATGGCGGATGAGGAAGATGGGGAAGGAGTCTGCGGGGTGGACGGACAGGAAAGCCAACTGCAGCAGGGACGATAATAAAGGGGCTGCCGGTTGGCCTTGTATAATATACACATATATATTTACTATATGTAGTATAGGGAGCATCTATGGATGGGGCCCAGCGTCGACTGTCTGCCTCTGCACTTAATTATATTTGCAGGGCCCAGACGATGACGATGTCGAAGCCAAATGGCCAAATTGAACGTGAATTTCACTGATTCAGTGGCAGTGAGTTGGCCACTAAAAAGGGTAAAAAAAAGAGTGTTTTCATTGGGAAATTGAGTATTTTCCACCCCTTGATGGGTGTTGCTTTCCCAAATAGACCCCTAGGCATATACATATATTTATATGAAATTCACTTAAAACAGTCAACCTTAACAGGTTATTATTATGCTGTCGATAAGTTTTGACTATTTATATATTTAACAAGAAAGAAAGCCTACTTCTAGAGGTCGAAGTGTGTATACCCTTGCAGTTACCCAAAGGATCATAGGTTCGAATGCAAATTCGATCATAATTAATCGAAAAATTAATAAATTTCAATTCGGAAAGTTGTTCTGTGCTAGTTTTTATTAGTTTAACAAATCTGCATACTCAATTTTTTAATTTTACAAAATTGAATTTTTATCAAAATTTCGGATTTTAAACTATAAAATTTAATGATAAAATTTTGGAAAAAAAATTAGAAAAATTTTTTTCTACCAAATATGGCTAGATCCATTCGGCTGTTCATTCTGATCAAGAATATATATGATTTATAGGGTCGGAAATGACTCCTTCACTGTGTTTTAAGCTTCTGACTAAAATTATAATACCCTGCAAGGGGTATAAAAAGCTATAATTATAAAGATACTTTTAATTTAAACAGGCCACGTCAGCAAGGTAATAATAAACATTCCATCACATTAATTATTACCAGTACTTTGGGAACAAGGCCTGATCGAAATTAAAAAAGGCAAACTAGTTTAATATAAAAATAAACGTACAAACTTTACTTTATAACGGATGACCTTTAAATTTTCGAAAGTCTGGATAAGTAAGGATAAGTAAATGTTGAACTTAAAGCAAACCAATGAAATAAAATCCTTTGGTGATGTTAAGGTCCTTATACCGCTGGCTAAAATAAATGTTGCCTACTTAACGGTCGCTGCTCAATTAGTTGTCTTATTTGCAATGAATGAGAGTTGCCTGGATTTTCCTTTTTTCTTTTGCTACAGGGATGCATACAGCAGTGGTTAAATTATTAATACAATAGTATTGGAATTGATATACTTATGTTGGTTTAATCTGACTAATTGGGTCTACAACTCGGAAAAGAGAGTTAAAGTCTTTATTTATAAGCAGTGTAATTGAATTAGAGAATAATCTCTTTATCAGAATATCTAAGAAATCATAATCATAATCATAAGGTTGCCAAAAAACGGATTTACAGGATTTTTAAATATAATTCTTTGGGCTGAAATCGCACTACAGAATCTATATATTCAATTTTGATATATTAAATTTCTTAAAGTAATTTCTAGACTATTTTAAGCCGCCTTTGCGGCAATGACAAAGGCTCATATAAAACCTGAAAACTTGTTTTCTTTGATGACACTACCATTGTGACCACAGGTGTCGCCAACACAGAGATACATACATATACTCCAAAAAAAACAAAGCACACATTTGGGCCACTCTCTCCTCTCACAAATACACCTGCAAAGTGGAGAAGCAGACAAACAAGCCAAATGACACGTATCCATAAATCCCCCAACATTTTATTGCCAAAGCGCTAAGCTTTAGGGCCAAGTCTCCAGGTGTGTGTGTGTGTGTGTGTGTGTGTGTGTGCTTGCGTGTTGGTGCGTAGGTGTGCGTGTGTGATTCGTGTGATTTGTTTTGGCGAGACAAACACACAACACACATGACATCCACACACACACACACACGTCAAACAGGAAACATAAAATGCCAACAACAATTTACTTTGTTAATTTACGTGCAAGTATTTGCATAAATAATAAAAGCAACAACGCTGCTAAATAAAAACAATAAAGGGGGGAAAACCCAATAAGAAATTTCAATACTTTCGAGTGATTTCATTTCCTTCGAACGGGTATTTTTTATTCCCCCATTCGATTATCGATTAGTATGTGGATCTGGGGGATTTCGTTGGAATTTTGCTGTTCTGCTGTTTCAATAAACAATAATAAACAAAGCGGGTTTTATGGGAGCCAGCTCTAGAGATGAATCTGATTTAATATATATATGTATATGATATTATTATGTTTATATTAAGGAATTAACGCGTATCGTATACTTACAGTATTTAATAAATGCACTTGATTTTAACAGAGAACTTTAACCTGATTGGCTCTAATTCAATTTAAATATTCATAATGGTCTGTGTAAACCTATTACTAAATTGTAACCCCAAATTATTAACCATTTATTAAAGTATTAATGGACAACTGCTCTATGAAGAGATCTTTTTTGGCTTTAAACATTTGTTTACTTTCAAAACTTTATGTTTAACTTACCTCTACTAGTTATTCAGTGGATGGGTGTTTTCTAGATTTCATTCTTTTCCAATTAACTAATTATTTCCAAACCTCAATTAGAACTGCACAATCGGAGAGTTCATGGTTCACTTACAGAAACCACCAAATTGCGCATACGCAGCGTGGGCTGTTAGAGAAAGGCGTTTTAGCTTGGCCATAATGACCGCAACAAGGAGAAGCAAATTCAGCAAATGAAGCCACTGTGGGTCCGATGAAAGTGTCAACACGTTCGAGCAACCCGTTGGCCATTCTCTGGCTGGTAAATATTTAAAATGCCAATGAAAGCGGGTCAAAAGCAAGCCCCGAGCAACGACAATCAGCAGTGACGATGATGGCCCAACCTCAGCTGTAGTTTTTCCACTTTTCCCACTTTTCCCACCTGGGAACGATGGCCAATAATAGTTTTATAGCTCTCTGTTTTGTAGTTGCTTCTCTGGCGTTTTTATTTCACTTTTCTGTCTCGGCTCTTTTAGCGTTTCAACATTTTCAGTTTTCTGTTTTTTGTTTTTTTCAAGAGCCATTTACAATTCACTTAGGTTCTAAAGGGGCGGCGGCGTACACAAAATATTAGCAAAAATACCAAACGGAAATACAAGTAACTTTATTATTTTATGGTTGGGATTTATACCATTTTTTATTTTATTATTGTTATTATTGTTAATATTATACAAAGCATGGCCCGGAAATCCTCTAGTTCAATTTTTGTTAACCATTAATGTTTCAACTCGTTTCTATAGCATACTTATTTGCGTTTAATACATAGTTCTTGTTTTCCTCCATAAATAATTATCTCTTTGCTTTCCTTTTCGTTTCGTTTTCAATGGACTGTCCTAACAGCTGCATGTTTTATCAAAATATATATATAGGTATGTATATATATTTGCTTTATAATCTGTGCACAATTATTATAATTATTATTATCTCTCTGGCTTTCAAATTCAATCTTTTACATTATTTCCCTTGCAACTTCCTTCTTCTGGTTCCAGTCTCATACGCATTATTTGTTTTATATTATTTTCACTGTTAATTTTCTTTCAGCTTAAGTTACAGGAGGGACTATGGTCTACATTCATATATGCTATATGTTGGGGGAAAGTCATTAACTAAATTGAAAAGCATATTAAAATAGGGCCGAGCAGCAGGCACCTCCACCATGTGTATGTGTCTGAATATTCCGCCTCGGTGGAAATCCGACAAAGGACAGCCAGAGGAGGAGTTCGTTGAACCAAGGAAAAGGAAAAGGAAAAGCAAAGCCAGGCAACTGAAAATGTCATTGCTGGGTTTGGAAAACAAAGGCGTGGAGCCAGGGGATGACAGGTGGAGTGGGCCTTGGAGTTAACCTAACTACCATTGCTAATAACAACAGTCCGGTGCTGGAGTGGAGCAGGAGGAGGAGGAGCAGCCGAGGGAGCCATAAGAGCAGGTAGAGCAGTCCAGGACCTGATGATGAGATATCGCACCCAATTCCTGCCCCAATCAATCATAATTCGTTTGCTTTGCATGGGATAGTTCTCCTACTATATAGAACTGAGGAATTTGCCGAAAAATGCTGTGAAGAGGGGCGTGGTCTTACACTTGAAATATTTCTAACTATTTTAATGGAAATTTAATGCAAATGACACAAAACATCAAATTTATTCCCAGTGTGTTCATCAAATAAAAAGCCAACAAATAAAATAAGTGCTTGCATGTCAAAGATATATATCAATATACATAGACATATAATAATCCAAAGGCAACAAGCAAATGTTTTAAATTGATGCAAGGCAACAATATCCAGGACAATAACAACAAGTGGTCATGACAACAACAGAAACTTAAAAATAAAATGCAGAGAAAGGAAACAAGAATGTTGCATTTGTTGCCATAGAGAAAGTCAGTCAAGTGGGCGAAGCCCAGAGCCCCTCCTCGATTCTGATTCAGATCGGAATATTTCTGCTTGTGTCCCGTAAACAAACTCCACACACACCGGTTCGTCCTGGAATCAAACTGAAAAGTTGACGAGGGCGTTGCCTGGCAGTTTCTCCCTACGCCTCCATTTTCCCGGTAAGCACACACGGAGAGAGAGTCAGGCAGATACATGACACGAACATGCAATTAAAGTCGATTATATATATATATATATATATTTATATACAGAACTTGTAGAACTTTTTATATCCATTCAAATGTCTCTGCAGAAAATCCCACAGAAATGCAGAAAGGATTCCACCTCTTTCCAGGTGTTTACAGGTGCACTCGCACGGACAGACGCCTCTGAAGAGTGAGACTTGCTGACCAGGACAGACATCCTGATGGATACAAGGACCCAGGAGCCGAGATAAATGCAAAAATTAATATATTGCGTTAGGGAATAAAGCGAGAAGAGCAAAGATGTTGCCTACTTTTAATAGCTAACGACATAAGTAAAATTTCAAAAATATTTATGAGGAGTTATTTTAAATTAAATATATTGTTTAGTGCACATAGAATGTGGCACACATGTCGGCAACGTAATGAAGTTTGGGGCATGGCAAACGGTATTCGTGTGTCTTGTAGTGACAGCAGGTGCAGCTCCAAATGTTAACGCCAAATGCCATCAAATTAAACATTTTCCCTCAGAGATATCCAGAGGAAATGAAAGAAAAAATCAAGCAGAATTGTTGTTCTGCAAAGTCTGCATTGAATATCCATTTATAGTTTGTGGCATTATGTTATTTCTGTAGCCTGTCTCCTGTCTGCTGTCAGTGCAAAACGAACTCGAACTCGGAGCGAAGGCACTGCAAATGCACCGCATGCCACTCTGCCTGAAGTCGGGGCTCAATGACACCGTCTCCGATTCCGTTTTCTCTGTATATATTCCATATTTCCTGCATATATTATATGGCCTGAAAGCAGCCATATTTGAGGTCTAACCCACTTGACTTGCCGCGTCATAGAATGGGGGCTTTGGCTCTATAATTAACTCTCCATTTATTTTGGCCTCAATCCGATGACTGACCGAATTATTTAAATGTATTGCTTGGAAATTCAGCTAACTTAATGGAAAGCTTTGGTGACAAATATTCTTGAAGATAATTTCATTATAAACTATAGTTGTGAGTAATAATTCAATAACTACATCTTTTAGTAGACAGAGAAGGATATACTTCAGGGGTTAAGGCTAATGGAGACAACTTTTTCGGATTGACTTAACTTTTATGGTATTTAACCAAAGCCAGATTACTTTAAGGGGATTTATTTTTGTAAAATGAATACATATTTCACCCCTACTCTCCTGGAACAACAAAGAAGTGCCACAAAGGTATTCCTCCAGTGATTGCGACTAACCGAAATTGATTCGGGAGTGCTCACTCACTTACTAGCTTCCCTCCACTAAAGGAAAAACTAATCACACTCGTCGTCGTTGTCGACTCGATTCCCCATCCATCTAACTGACACCACTTCCACATCCTGCGAGTGCTCCTCCTGCTCTTCTGGTTAAAAATGGACTCTACCCCGCTGTCAGTTTCAATAACATGCCTCCGCCGGGAAGGAGGAGAATGATAAAAAGACGGCATTGGAGTGTCATGTGCGTAGTCGTTATGGCTGGGCTGTCGTGTCTGGCAAGAGATACTCGGTACCTACAACCTACCGTGCACTCTTTAGCCGGCCAATCCTCGATAGCTGTCCAACTGACAGCTGAGCAGGATGAGCCCTGAAAGGGCAGGGACGGGACGGGTCGGGACCACTCAATTCCGCAGTTGACGCATTTCCATTTACAGGTCTTGTTTTCCCCGACTTGTGCCGCTGCATTAATTATTCAGTTTCGGCATATTTAATGGGGGAAGAGAGAGAGGGCGAGTCAGTTGTCAAAATCAAGTTTAAAACAAAGCCATGACGACTGCCATCGGGGGCTTTGGATGCTATGCATTTGAATTTTAATCGAATGAAAACATTTGCGTAACAATTTGGCAACATGCAGCCATTGTGTGTCCTTCTGCCTGCTGCCAGAGATACAAGGATATACGGATCCCCGAGCAGCTGCAGATACAATACGTAATCATTCCACGACGCCTCCGCTTACACACATTTTCCAAAATGAAAATCAATACCAGCGGTGGCACTGGGAAAAGGGGTGAGCTTTCCGTCTCCTTTTCTCTCTGGGGGGAAAATTTCCCGTAGCCTGGCTCCAAACTTCTGCACATGCTGTTGCATATTTTATCAATTCAACTGCAAAGTCATTCAAATGGATAGCAAAGACATGTTTAGTGGGGGCGAAAAAAGTTGAGGGATCTGATGCAGTTAAGGTCTAACGACTAACGACGTCAACAAAGAAGTCCTGCATAGGGAAGGCAAACAGGAGAATCCCAAGAAAAGATTCTTTCGATTATGGGGTTATGACACTGCAGTGTCCTTTACGTTTACTCGGAATCATACATTCCGAATTTTCAACAATGTAGAGTTCTCAACGATTGTAAAAGTTGAAACACTACAGTGAAAGAAGATAATATAACTACACTTTTATAAAAGTAAATTTAAACAAATGCGGTGTCATAGGATCAAATCGATTTGGGTTTATTAAAAACAAGATTGAATCTCAAATATATGGGATGGAAAAATGCATACTGCATTCTTTAAATGTATTGACTGTGAGATTAAAGTGAACTTTGAGAACCATTTAATAATGCTGTTCTACAGTATGTAATAGATTTACTATTGGTAAATAAGGGACTTATTTCAAAGATGTTGAAATTAAATTTTACTTCAAATTTAAATTATTATTTTGACCAACTTAAATGCCTTGAAAATAGGTGTAAAAAAGAGGTTTAAATTTTTACTACCTTTTGAATTAATAAGCTATATTATTATTAATTACGATATTCCATAAACTTCCATTATTATTACCTCTCCACAGCAGACTCTTAATAAATCAAATATGCAGTCCACAAAATTCAAACAAAGAAACCCTCGGACCACCGACCGAAAGCGGTAATTAAGTTTGGCCATGAAACCCCATCGCATCAAAGGCAATTTCCTCTCCTGGCCCTGACAGCTCACCCACGCTCAATAGACCTTCCCTTGCTCCTGCTCCTGCTCTACCTACTTTTCCTGCTCCTGCTCTTGCTCCTCCACAGGCTTAATTGATTTCAGTTATGACTTTCGATACTTATTTGCAGATTAATTGATTTCCGCAACTCCAAACTCCAAACATAATCGAGTACGGGACGGGGTAGCTACATACATACTAAGACTAGCCTACGGACTAAACAGAAACCTCTTCCTTTCTACTAGGTGCTGCTCGAATTGGAGCTGATGCTCTGCAGGGAGCTGTTGGAGGCGGTCTTTCTTAGGGTATCTCCCGCCAAACTGCACAGATTCTGGACGAGAAGGGCCGAGGGGGCCGCGTTACCGGATCCCAAGGTGCTGCGATTAACCAGCGTTGGCGAGGACGTGGCTTTGGCCGGATTGGAGTTGGTTGCATTGGCATGATGATGATGCCTCAGAGGCTGCGGCGAGGTTGGATTCGAGAGGCCGGATTCGTGAATGGGCGACAGAGTGGGGGACCGGGTCCTCAGGAAGTGTTTCCGTCTCTGCCTCCGGTAGACGTTCCCCAAACTGGGCAGGGTCCGGCTGTTTGTCTGACACGATTGCTGCTGCAGGTTGCTGGCGAATCCCAGAGTCTCGGCCAGTTCCGCCAGCTCCTGACTGGTCTGGTTCATTTTCCTCCTCGTCGGTGGCGGTAGGGCGGGCGGCAAGGTCAGCGTGTAGGTGGTCACACTGTCGTCCCTTATCACGGATGTGGGCAGCAGCATCACTTCCTTCTGTCCGCCACTCGATGGACTGGTGCTCACCTCGCTGCTCTCCAGGGAACTCCGGCTCGGCGAGCTGGCCGGTGGTGTGGGCGTCGTTGTCGAGGTGGCATAGCCACGCCCCGCCGCCTGCAGTTGCAGCGGACGTATTTGATTTTGCTTGATGCCGGAGCCAGCATGATGCTGATGGTGCTCCTTACCAGCCGCAATGCCGTGGTGTCCACCATGACGACAGCGAGGTCTCCGATAGCGTCCTAGCAGGCGCAACATGTGCCGTAGTCTGGAGCTCCTGGGTGGCGTCGAAGGGATAGTTGCAGGCTTCAGCGGCAGTTCCTGATCCACTCCGCCGTTCAGGGTGCGTATGAACTGTATGGGGGGCAGCTCCTGGGCATTCAGTTTGGCCGCAGCGGCCGCTTCTTCTCGCTCCCGGAATGTCAAGGCGGCGAGGAGATCATTGGGCACATCTGGACTGTCGGGCACTGAGGCGCAGCAGTTCCATTTCCTCCGCCAGCGCTGGTGCTTCGAGATATTCCCAGCCGCTGTCGCTGATGACGAGGATCCCCCCGTCTGACTGGTCAGAGTGCGAGTGCTACTACTTCCGCCGGCACTGCTCACCGCCCCCGAGGATCCGGATGCCGTGCCCCTTCTCAGACGGAAGGTGCACAGGGTGCACTGCTCAGTGTACTGGAGATATGTCGCCGGTCGCTGCGGACGCGGCTCCGCAGAGAGCAGAGCGCCCTTGGCCAGGCTCACGCGTCGCTGCAGAGAGCTGGCCGCGAAGCTGGAGCAGCAGTGGAAGCTGCTCAGGGTATCCTGTTCCAACTGAATCTGCTGGGGAACCTGCCGCTCCTCCAGCACCGAGCAAACGTAGATGGCCTGCCGGCTCTGGTGGAACTCCCTGGAGCCGGCACAGCAATGCAACCTCATGGATTGCTCTGTCGTTTGACCCACCGCTGCCGCCTCATGGTTCTGCTGCTGGCTGGGATGCGGGGCAGTGGAGCAGCAATAGAGCTGCTGGCCCCCCGGCATCGACTTGGACGGAATGTGTGGCTCGGGCAGGGAGGCCGAGAAGTGAACGTTGCCATTCTTGGCCACTCCCGTAGGAGGAGCTGCCTCCTGGAGCTGTTTGGCCTTAGCCTCCTGCGCCTGACGGTGGTTCCTGATATACTCGTAGGTGGTCAGTCCCAAGAACGAGATGTATATGTGAAAGAAGCACAAGTGGAGCAGCAGGCCGGCACTGACAGCGGCAAGCAGACCAAGGACACCCAGTAGAAACAGGAAAATAGTCTCGTTAACTCCGATTCCGCCGACTACAGGTGTCACCGTGTGATTGGTGAGCGAAATCCCCGGCTGCGTTGTACTAGCTTCAATCAGCGCCGTAAAGTTCTCCAGGAGTGTGGGCAACGTGGAGGAGATGGTGGTGTTCGCCTGCAGCAGCAGCAGCTGCTCATCGTCATCGTCCATTGCCCGTCGTCGCTGCTCCTCCTCTTCGGTTGTCGGCTGTTGCTCCATGCCCAGGCTTAGTGTGAGGTTTATATAGTCGCCGCCATCCAAGGGAATATGATGCTGGCTCGTGTCCACCTCGGAGCCCAGGCGGCACCAGTAGAAGCTCAGCCACTCCGGCTGGATGTAGTAGAAGACAATCTGAGCCACCACGGCGGCCACGATGACGAGAGTGGCCACCACCGCACTGACCACGCACATCAGGAAGGCCACATAGTTCCGGGAGCCGATGCAGTGATTCAGCCACTTGCAGTGGTGATCGAACTTGCCCACGCACTTGTTGCACACCGAACAGTGCTTCGTGCGGCTCGACGAGGTCCGGATGTTGCACAAATGACACCGCCCGTTCTCGATCACGTGACCGTGCTTCGTCCGATCGAATTCGGGCACGATGCGATCGTTGCGATGCACCCGCCGGAGCTCCTTGTCCGCTGGATCCGTCAGCAGGGCTGTGAGATGGGAGGCGGTGTGGACCAGGTAAAGGCCGGTAATCAGACCATAAAGGGGTCCCTGCAGGGGCGTATGAAAGGCCGGTATGAGCACCCAGTAGCTGGCAACGCCGAACAGGAGGAGCACCAGCCAGCCGAAGAGCTGGAGGGGATGCAGGGGCAGCTGCAGTCCGTGAAGGCGTCTTCCCCGCCGGTGCTGCACATCGGCGATGTTATTCTGATAGCTAACCAGCTGCGATAGCCTGCACAGACCGAGGGCTTTGCTCTGCTTCTGCTTCTGCTCACTGGACGATGTCGGTGGCGCTGAGGGAAATCCGCTTCCCAGGGGTTTGGTGACAGGAGAGGAAGGCACTGCTCCCTTCACTGGCTCCTCGCTGCCCGACTCGGTTAGGCTGGCAGTGCTAATGGTTATGATGTGATCCGTTGCCTCCGTCGGCCTGACTCCGTTGGCTCCTTTGGGTCCGGCTCCTAGTCCAGCTTGTGTTGTGTACATCTTGTTGATGCGTCTGAAGGAGATGCCTCGTTCGATGATAATGGCGATGATGATGATGATGCTGATGATGCTGACGTAGATGCAGATGATGTGGATGAAGTGTGATGTTTGATGAAAGGTCCTGATTGATAGCTGTACATTACATGTGATGCTAAGCCACGCCCTCAACGGATATTGATGGAATCCAGCGGTGGATAGATCTCATATAATTCCCAAGCGATTTTTTATCATGCTTCAATGCCAAGTTTTTGCTTTTATATTGAATTGTTAATTTAATTGTTTATTACGTAGAGTTCATTTTCTTATTGTTTTTAAGAAAGTTTATGACTTTTTGATATTTTCTTCCGATTTTTAGCATTCCGATAATAAATTATACAATTCTGTTCTTGATAATTCTTTTTTAAACAATGTTGTTTTGTGCTGTTGATTTATAATTGTTTTATATTTGTTTCTTTTTTATATTTTTAATTTTTGGTTTGCTATGCGGAATTTGGTTTTTCTTCACTTGTTCATTATTATGAAGTTACGTTTTAAACTATAATTTTGATGTAGTCTGCTTATTATAGTCCAAATCTTTATTTAATTATGTTAAAATCTCCTTTTCTGGATTTATTTTCGACGAAACGTTTTTGTTGCCTATTTTATGGCGTTCCTTTCTCTTCACTGGCTTCGTCTGGGCACTTATTTTTAGTGTTTTTCATTGGCTTTCTCATTTACAGTATTTATTTATTTCTTTGCTTTTTGTTGCTGCTTTTCCTTTTTCTTTTTTGCGTTTGCTATTTTGTTTTTCTGAATGGCGCAGCAGTTAACGGTTCATACGTAAACGAATTTAGTTGTTTTCGCTCTTGCCCAGAGTGTTCTTGGTGTTATTGTTGTTGCTTTTGTCGCTGTTGGGGGGTGGTAACACTAAAAAGTGGGCGCAGAAAACCAGGATTGTCGCCACCCCCGTCCGCTTCACCGTTTTCTTTTTTGCGAGATTCCTGCTCTATGATTCCCCTTCAGCGCAGCGGCCCTTTTGCTTTTTCGCTCTGCGTTTTGCTATTTGTTTTCGACTTCGCACGCTCACATACACACGCACGCACACTAGGGCGTCGCGAGGTAAAATAACGTCCGCGATTACCGTTATTTCAGCATCTGAACAACCCGACTCCTTCAACCGACGCGACCAAACTAACAAATTCCAGCTCTCGGCATCCCCTGCCGACCAGGCCAGGCCCATTGTGTTCAATTTTAAGCTAACAGTCAAGAGGAAAGTGGAATTCAACTCCAACGAACCAACTTAACGGAGAGAGTAATGTAAGCTTAAGCTTGGCCTGTGTGCTTGCAACATGTTCGATAACAGCTGCTGACTATCACTGTAACGTTACACTAGCCTACACAAAGTTTCAACTTCTTAAGCGACCTTCAGCTGAATCTTACCCCTCTCTCCAAAGGTATCGAAAAGGTGTATTGAAGAATAAAAATATTATTATTAAATTAGGTAATTATATGGTTGATCTTGGAAATTTAATGGTTAATAATTGTAAAATTCGAATTTGAAATCATAAATACATTACTTATATTCGATTCAAATAAAAAGAAAAAAAATCTGATTGTTGTAAGCCAGTGTAAATGGTAAGCCATTACTCTCTCTTTCTCCCTTGGTTTGAAGGCAGCCGAGAGAGCAGAGAACCGAAAACGATTGAATGTCTCGCTCAAGCTGATTGAAAGCTACAAAGCTTTCCCCGTTGAAAACGGCTGTCAGTCAGTTTTGGGTGGTTACAACCACCCAGGCGCAAGTAAAAGAGAGAGTGAAGGGACATCACAGGACAGCTGTGTGCGGTTTTGCCGGTAGCCGTAAGTTAGATAAGGAGAAAGAAGAAGTGGTTTTTGAGAGGGTTTTTTTAAGCTTTTCAGAAAATGTTTTCATTCATTTGAGAGATATATGTGTGATCCTTGAAATATTTTCCACACAATATGTAAATACTTCTACAATTATTAACTAAAGACTATTAGAGCCTTTGGAAATTAAATCATGTTTTTTTAACATAGGGAACATTTCAATACTACTATTAACCATTTGGCACCTCAAATATATGATTATTAATATGTTTACTAATCGTGACAAAAGTCTGGCTGGAATAAAATCAAAGATTATGTCCAAACTTTAATTACTGGCAACTTATTGCTTAAATAGTTCTGTCTAATTTGCAATGTAATTTGAAATTTTTGATATTCAGCTCTTTTTAGGAATAATCTACATTTGGAATAGCAATCCTGTTGTCTTGCTTTCCAGAGGATTATTAGCTTGTTAGCCTACTGGCTCACGCTACCATCCCTGGGGACTCATATCGCAACAGGAAGTAACTATTATGTAACGCCAAATGGGCCAGGAGGGGACACAGCACGCACCTTTCGCTTTTCCCAAACAGTTTCCCCCTACCTTTTTCCTTTTTTCGGCCTGCCAGCATCATTTTTTATTTATTTATGCCATCGACAGAACTCACGTGAGAGGTGGCGGCGGCAGGTGTTAGATGAAATGGAAAGTACACTCGAGAGAATATTTGGAGCACGTGCTTGCTGGGCTCTGGCAGCAAGTATACTTCAGCACTTGGTGTGATTTTATTTACATCGAAAGATGCACGGTTTCGTGGGGAATTTTCCAAGCAAAATCCAAAGGAGACAGCCCGACGCCTGACTGACCGACCAACCGAACGATTGGCAAATATTTATGCTCGCAATCTCCAGACTTGTCGCAGGGAAACGAGGTCACCGCCGGCGCAGGGGCAGGCGGAGCAGGACGAGCCATTAGATGGAGACGGATAGTGAGCCGGAGATTTATGTAAGCCGCATCCCTGCTGAGGCTGTGGGAATATCTTCCGCTGGAGCTCAGCTAATGGTTATCCAACAGGAAGCGAGCTACGATTCTTTAGCCTCGTAAAGTCGAAACGCAAATTACCCAAACAAAATACCCAAATTATGCGTGTGGATACATACATATGTATATAGTATCAATGGCAAGGCCACAAATTTGATTATTTTGCATACGATAAGTAGGCGGAATTTAGGAAGACGCCAAACAAAACAGTGGTGTTGACATTCTAGATATTCCCCTTATAAGCTGTTTTAACAATTTACTTAATAAATATGATCAATATTTAATTAAAACTGGATATAAAATTTTACTAAAATACCAGATTCAAAATGGCTTCGTACGCTTGCTTCCTTCATTCTACCTACTCTTAATACTATATATAACCAAATATTAGGATTTTAACCTTAAACGGTTATTTTGTGTTGTTAAAGTTGATAAATATTAAATATAATTGTACACTAGGAAATGTTATGTTTAGGAGAAATGCCTCAGTATAGGTTTTGTTATCTAAATTCTTGACCTTTTATACCCTTGCAGGGTACTCTGATTTTGGTCAGAAGCAACACAGTGAAGGAGTCGTTTCCGACCCTATAAATCATATATATTCTTGATCAGCACGAAAAGCCAAATCAATCTAGCCATGTCTGAAGGGAAAAAAAATTTGACAATTTTTTTTCATAATTTTATCGTTAGAAATGGTCTTTGTCAAATGTGAAAATTTGAAAAAAATTTAAATTTATAAAAACAAAAAACTCAATATGCAGATTTGTTAACCTCATAATAACTAGCACAGAACAGCTTTCCGAATTTAAATAAAAGCATCTTTGGCTTATTTATAAATTTTTTAAAATTCACTTTGTTGGAAAAATTATCATATAAATGTATTGATAAATATCAACTCAAAGAATGGTATTATAAACTCAATCGGAAGCATGAAACAAAGCGAAGGAGTCATTTCCGACCCTATAAAGCATATATATTATTGATCAGCACGAAAAGCCGAATCGATCTAGACATGTCCAAAGGAAAAAAAAATTGACAATTTTTTTTCATAATTTTATCCTTAAAAATTGTCTTCGTCAAATGTGAAAGTTTGATAAAAATTTATTTTAAAATAATGTTAAAAATTTATATGCAGATTTATTAACCTTTTGAAAACTAGCACAGAATATTTTTCCGAATTGAAATTAAAGCATTTTTGGCTTAGTTGTGATGTTTGAAAAACTATGATTTACCTAAAATATGAGCATATAAAAATATTGATTTAATATACCTAGAATACATATATTTTAAGATTTCTTGTTGTTATACGATGGTCAAAAACGCAATGATTGCCAAAAGTCATATATATTTCGATTTGCAATCAAAATCTTCATCAAAAGAGAACAAAACATTGGAAAATATGTTAAGATAGCTTTTCTTCTTGTTTTAACTGGATCTGAGAATTATCTGCTCAAGAAGGTTCTTTTGTATCATATTTCATCCAAATCCCATTAAATCCGGTCATTGTAAATGATAAAAACCAATACCAACATTTGATTCAATTTTGTTAGGAAAATAAAATGAGTTTTCTATAGTTTCCGCCTCAGTGTTATTGCCTCCTGGCATCGATAACAAAAATGGGCGATGAAGCCTCGCCGCATCTTGCCTGCCTGCCTTCAAGGATACCGGTAACAAGAAAAGCTTTGGTAAGCAGACTAAGCACTTCCACTGAACCGTCAAAATAACTGGCAAAACCAACTAGGCGAGGAGGCAACCAAATCTAGATTTTTACCAATTTTACGAGCTTTTCCAGACATACCAACGAACAAGGGAGAGAAGTAAAGCTTTAAAAGGTTAAGTAGCCTGTTTATTTACAGTAAGAATTTAAGTTTGGTGTTTCGAATAAGTTCTTACTCGAAACGCTCAGAGAATCAATACATAATATAGAGTACATATAGATAGGGTGTATCACGATTAAGGGCGGCAAGATGATAGACATCCTGTCGCTGCCGCGCCGGAACAAGGTGTCCGGTAACCCGGCACTTTTAAAGATGCTCTCCTCGTACAAGACCGGGCTGCCCATCAACAGTCTGCCCGGCTGGGAGCTGATTCCCCTTAACTGCAAGCTGCCCATGCTCAAGTGTCCCGGGAATCAAGTTATATTCTCAAAGAATAAGATCGGACAGTCGGTAAGTGAAGAACATGAAGTCTGGATCTGACTTAAGATTTATGCAAATTAAAGTCCTAATCGAATTAAAAATCCTGTCTAATCCCAATCCAGTTCAAGAGCGGCATGCAGGAGTTCGTGTCCTCTGTTACGGAGCACATTCCCGAATACAATCCGTTGCACGACTCCAACCTAAAGACCTTCTACTCCAACGAGCGCAACCTGAAGCGCCTGCGCGAGAACGGCGAGATCACGCAGGACAACGATGTGATCTGCAATTTAAAGGACTTCAATCAGCACCGCCAGGAGCTGCACAAGTCGCAGCTCTACTACATCCTGCAGGCGTACAAGAGGCGCGAGCAGGAGCAATACGACCGAATGTTGATTGCCAATGCCGAGGCGATTACGAAGAGGGATCATCAGAATCTGGCGGCTCGGCACCAGTGCACCGACCAGGTGCTGACCCGGAAGCAGCAGCTGGAGGCCGAGCGTCACGAGCGGAAGGTGCATCTCCTAAACATTACGTACGAGAAGTTCAAGCGGCTCGAAAACCTGGCCACCATGCAGAACATGCTGCTGGAGAACCGCAAGATGCTAACGAACATGAGAGTGGCTGCGCATATCAGCATGTGCGAGGATCTACAGCGGAAGCAACTAATCAAGCAGAAGAAGCTTTTTCAGTTCAAGAAGGACCGGTTCAACAAGAACATGCGGCTACTGAGGAAACAGCGGCTGAACAAGAGCACCGAACACCAGATTCAGTCCTGGCACAAGCGTCTGGACGAGCGCATTGCCCACCAGGGGCGGATCAACTACCTGCTCCAGGATGTGGAGAAGGAGCGGGCGAAGTTCATCGAGAGACACAAGGCCCTGTACAGGGAAAAGTGGCAGAAGATTCAGGACGAGATCAAGGAGCGGTCCCGCAAATCTGTTGCCGCTCGCAGACCCAAGAGTAAAAAACGCCGCAGGCCAAAGCGGCCACAGCCGTCGCAGGTATCGAAACACACCTTCTGCGACGAGTACGAGGCCACCTTCGAGGGTCTGCTGGACAACGATCTGTGCTATGCTTTGAATGCCGCCATTGCCATGGAGGGCCAGACGCCGCTGACCTTTGCTCCCGATGATCCCATCTACAAGGCGGCCCGCTATATACTCGATCACATAATCACCGGCTTCAACGAGGATCTCAGCGAGGACGAATGCGCTTTACTGGTCCTCAGCTCACGCATCCAGGAGTTTATCTGCGATGCCAAGAAATATGTACATTCTGTGAGTAAATCAGGAGAAGCGAAGACATGTAATTAAGAGTAAGCTTGACCCCTTTCTCTCTCTTTCTGCAGAAAGCTGCCCAGATCATTGGTTTTGCAAGGGACCACTGCGCCATTGAGGTGCCAACATCGTTGGCCAGACCAGCGGCACCGCAAAGGAATCACTCGCGTGCCTCGCACGTCTCCTTTAGCGGAGTGGCCAGCACCATTGGCGTGGGCAGCTACGAGATCCATCCGTTTGTGGATGTCCGTCCTTGTACGGACCGCAGACCCACGCCGGCGGGTTCGTTGGCCTCGCTGGCAGTCAGCCAGATTGGCGAGCGGGTGATCCAGGACAGATCGCGAATGCCGCATCTCAAGCGCAACCAGATCGTGTACATCGAGCACTATCTGGTGAAGTTCAAACGGGACTTGCTGGTGGGCCTGGACAAGCTGGTCTTTGCAGCCATTCAGTGTCATTTTGATAACCAAATGATGGAGGTACGCGAGGAGCTGCTAGCCCTGGACAGGAATTATCTTTTCGATCAGATCGCACGGGGCATACTCAGCTATGCGGTGAATGCGCTCAACTATCAGTCAGTGCTCAAGCTGAGCGTGAGCGTGCTGTCCTGCGAGGTCATATGGGAGCTGCAGCAGACAATGCTCAAGCCGGGCATTGATCCGCGAGGCATGAACCATCCCATGTCCTGTGGCACCGAAAGGGAGCGCGAGAACCTCGTTCTCTGCATCCCATAGAAGGAAGAGGAGCAGCACATAGACCTGCCAACAAATTTCAAGTAAAAACTGGCGACCATTCTTTCATTTCTGGGTCTTCCGATCAACTAAATTGCCTGTGATTTGTTTGTTGTGAATATCTTGTTGAATAAAATATGTTAATTTGTTTGCGATAATGAATTAGGAACGCTTTACTACAGCTATAGGTTAAGTTTAAATCGCGCCTGATTTGCATGTTTTAATGTTTAATTTAATGTTAAATAGTGCAACGATTCACTCACCCGATGCAGCTTTTGGCCTTTAGTTAGCACGTTCCGCCGTTCTCTTTGCAAATTCCAAGTGTAAACACAAACAAAACTGATTTTAACACAATTTTAGAGCATGGTAAGTGCAACAGCTGGTTGCTGCCAGGGATGGGGAGAGGTTCCACACGGCACTGTCGATTGCAATCGGTCTATCGATAGGTGACGATAGGCGACGTTTAACAGTTGCCGTGTTCGCGCATTTCGAACTTTGACTTTGAAAATGACTAAATGGTTATCTGCACTTGCATTATTTAAATAATAAAATGAAAACAATGTTAAAAGTATAATTTACAGACACTTAAATTAAATGTTTACTATTTTTCCCAATTATTTTGCAAAAGTCAATATTTCCACGACGTCATAATAATATATTACTTCTTCTACATGTTTTAAATTAGCCCGTATTTTAATTAATAGCGAAATTTGAATGTTTGTAGGTGGAAATCCAGATTCTTCCAGATTTCTCAACACTGATTAATAATAAAATTCCAATTATATTCAAACAAGGTATTTCTAAGCTCCGGGTCTATTTTCGTAGGTATTACCTAACCGCACCTAATAAATAATAATAAAATGGTGATGAATGCACCTCATAGGCATTTTGAATTTCTTTTTCCGTTAATTAGGCTTAAAAAATATGCGCTTGTGCTTGTAATCCAATCAATAATCATTTGCATGTATAATAAGAAGCTATATAAATTAAGGCATTTTACGTTCTTTGAAATAGTTCCAACAAATCAGAGAACGCGACAGGCGGTCCGCGCGAAGGGTACAAAAATTAATTTTAACTTAATATAACTTAAAAGTGAGTGAGTGAAACACAAAGGGATATAAAGCTTTAATAATACAAATTTGAAGTGGAAATTAATCTTTCAAAGAGCATGAAAAACAGGAAACATATGAATACTTAAACAATTTTTAATACCTAATTCAGAACAGAAGAACAGACATGACCCCCAATCCCAAGGACTACGCTCATAATGAGGAGGTGGGGGATCGGACGAAGCCAACGGGTGTGCTCTTCGAGAGTGATATGGGAACGGACGACGGTGCTCTGACCATTTATAGCGGCGAATTCAAGCAGGCCCAGACCAGGAAGCAATCTTTGGTGTGGCGCAATATAATAATTTTTACAGTCTTACATATAGTTTCGCTATATGGAGGATATCTCTTGGTCACACAAACAAAGCCTGCCACCATACTCTTCAGTTAGTATAGCCTTGGGCCCTTTTTGCCCTGCCTGTTAATGGTCTTTATCTCCCTCCTCTGTATCATTCAGCATTCGTGATATACTCTCTCGGCATGCTAGGACTTACGGCCGGAACCCACCGACTCTGGTCCCACAGATCGTATAAGGCTAAGTGGCCGGTTCGTCTCTTTCTGGTCATTTTAAATTGTTTAACCTTCCAAGACTCTATCTTTGTTTGGGTGCGCGATCACCGAATGCACCACAAATACTCTGAAACGGATGCCGACCCACACAATACGTCCAGGGGTTTCTTCTACTCCCACATAGGCTGGCTGCTGGTGAAGAAGCATCCCGATGTGACAATAAAAGGCAAGGGACTAGATCTCTCCGACATCCGTGCAGATCCTATTGTGATGTTTCAACACAAGTATGTTTAGAACCATAGGATCAGAGGTTTCACTGGGCAGTTTAATAATTATTTATTGCTATAAATTTAGGTACTATTATTACCTTATGCCGCTAGGCTGCTTCATCCTGCCCACTTTAATTCCCTGGCTGTGCTGGAATGAGTCCTTGTCCAGCTCCTATTTCGTGGCAGCCGTGTTGCGTTGGTGCGTACAGTTAAACATGACCTGGATGATTAACAGTTCGGCCCATGCCTGGGGTAACAAACCCTATGACAAGTAAGAATAGAGAATGGAGAGTCGAAGATAGACATAATATGGTTTATTTTTTATTTTTCCCTCACAGAGCGATGAATCCCTCGCAGAACTCCTTCGTTTCGCTAATGACCTTTGGAGAGGGTTGGCACAACTTTCATCACGTGTTCCCGTGGGACTATAGGACGGCCGAGTGGGGCGGTTATAGCCTTAGTCACGCTACCATCCTAATCAATCTGTTCGCCAAGATCGGCTGGGCCTACGACCTTAAAGAGGTGACGCCAGAGATGATCAAGAAGCGGACTCTGCGAACAGGCGACGGTACTCATGAATTATATGGCAAGAGTGCTGATCCTGACGTTGCTAAGAAGTTATGATGATCTATCCTAAGAGGGGTTTTCCAGTTATGCCAATGAGTTTTGTTTGGGTTCATTTCTGTTCTATTCATCAAAACATATATTTAAATTTTGCCTGACTACTAATAATTATTAAATTTAAATCACGGATATTAAAGTCGTACTTCTTTAAATTCGTATTGCTCTTGCAATTATGAATTGGTTTGGCATAATTGATCAATTGCAGCACCCTAAGCTGAGGCAGGACTCTTCCTTGAAAATAAGACTACAAAACTCCAGGGGTGGATATTATTGAGGAATAAGACGATTCATTTTGATATAGGTTTTAAAATGGATACATTAAAAGTGTATTGTACCCGAAGAACAATTCACTAATATCTGCTTTATAGTTCATTGGAACTTATAATCTTTTAAATATATGGCATTCATTTGTTCACATTTAAACGAAAAGCGTGATTGAAGTGTGTGCATAATTACCCAGCCGCGTCCCACTCACAAACTAATTAACAAAAGCTTAATCGAAGCAATTAATTACGTGGTTTTCTGTGTTCTGCATAAAGAATTTGAAGCCCGATGACGGCTGCTAGTTTTTTTACACAGCCGCCCATAATCAGATCAACTTTATCGACGCACAGTGCTATCTTAACTGAACAGATATTTAAGTACTTTAAATGTTTTAAACTCATAGAGAGATGTACTTATTTTCCTGAAGATAAAGTCATTGTAAGAATCAGGCATTTTAAGATTTTAAATGCATTTTTTGTGTGGTCTATAGCTTAACCTAGTATGTATTATATTATTTAGGAAAACTGAACGGCGCCCCATAAGGGTACATCATGGAGTTATAGGGAGCACCTGGAGCGCCGAGTAGGGAAAACGGAAACACTTGCGGAGGCAGACTGGCAGCAGCTGTTGTGCTTTTTGAGACACGCTTTCGTTTCGGAGGTGCTGCTGGCTGCTCGTCACTGGATTCCGACTCTTCTTCGCTTTCGCTGCTTGCCTCCGTTGCCTCATCTTCGTCATCATCATCATCATCATCGTCCTCGTCTTCATCCTTTGGTTCCACCTTCATGCGCTTTTGCGGCGTCTTTTTGGCAGCTATCTTCTTGGTATTTCCCATCTTTTTGTCCTTTTTGGCCTTTACTGGAGTAACTGGAACGGGAGATGCAGCTGCAGATCCTGGAACAGCAGCGGGGAAGGCGAAGCGCTGCTGATCACCGGTAAAAGAGGACATCTGCTGCATGATAAACTCCATAAAGGCTTGCATGGCAATGTTCAGGTTGGGCGGACTGGGACAGCTTTTGAGGCTGTGATACCGGCCGGAGCAATTCCGACAGATCATTTGGCAATTAAAGGAGGTGTGTCCCTGAAAAGTACATGGTTTTAGTCAAGTTAAGTAAATAAACTATTGCTAGGTGACCCACCTTCTTATCGCAGAGGCCGCACACATCAAGGGCTTTGTTTTTCGTTTTGCTTTTTCCGGCCTTCCTTTCCTTTTTGTCTTCAGCATCGCTGCTCTCCTCGTCTTCCTCTTCGTCCGTAATTGTGAACTGGCGTTCTTGAGAACCCATGCATACCACATCCTCCTCAGAGGGTGCTTTCTTCAGTTTCCTGGAGGTAGACTTGTTACCACCAGCTGCCTGCACCTTTTCCTTGGATGCCATTTTTGTCTTAGCTGGCGTCGGACTCTCATCGTCATCGGAATCTGAAGATGAAGACGAAGACTCAGAGGATGAGCCCGGTGGTGGCTTCACAGCTGCCACAGTTGGTTTGCTGGCCTTCGGTTTGGGTGATATAGCTGCCACAGTTGCGGGTTTGCTGGTGCCTTTTACGGCTTCACCAGGCTCCGGTTCGGATTCCTCTTCCTCCGAGGAGGAGGAACTCGATGAGCTTTCGTCCCTTTTCACTACCTTGGGTTCCGACTTGGCAACGGCTACCGGTTCTACCTTGGGCTTCATCAACAGATCCGTCTCCTTTTTGATGTTGATCAGCGGCAGCTGGGGTGGCTTCTCTTCCACTACAGGACGAGTTGCCTCTGTGGGCGGCGCTATGGTGTTGTTGAAGGCAACATTGGCAGGTGGAAGGCTCTCCTGCCTGTGCGAGGGTGGAGCAGGCGATGTGGCAACCGGAGGGGGGGAGCAGCAGCTTGAGGATCCTCGGTGAAGTCACCCACGTTGTCGTAGTACAACATGTGACTGCGTGTGGGGCTCTTGCTTCGATCTTTGCCTTGCCAGGAGTTGTTGCGTCCACGACCGCGGCTCCGTCTACTTCGTCCACCACCACCACCACCACCTCCGCCTCCGCCGCGACCCCTTCCTCTGCCGCCTCCCTTATTCCGTTGCTGCTGCTGCTGAATCTCTGGCTGCTGCTGATGATCTCGGAATTTGTTGAAGGACTCCTCCCTGCCCCGCCCGCCGCCGACGCCACCCGGTACATTGCCATTGCTATTATTGTGATTCCTTTGCACCTGACCGCCACCTGTGTGTCCTCGATCGGTCCAATTGCCATTGGATTGATGGTTGGGAGTCTGGGGACCGCCTCTGGCGTCGCCGCCGCTGCGTCTCTGCTGACCATTCCCATAGAAGTGGTGCCGCGAGTGGTTCCAGCCGCTGGATTGTCCTCCTCCGTTGTTCATAGCGAATATTTTTAATTTTTACGAACCGCCTCGGCGCACGTGTTGGAGTCGATTGACGATATCGATAGGTAGTTATCAGAGCTAGCGGTGGTAGCTAGGTTACTCTAACGCCAAATCTGGCTATTACTCAAAGTGAAGTCGGTGCAATCTTTAGCCATTTGTATAAAGCGTTCATTAAATTAAATAAATAAAAAGCCTGTTTTATTAGATCTTTAACCAATACATTTTTTAACTGGACTATGAGCATTGTGATCAATGAAATATCTAGCTATCTTTTTCCCATACTATCGATAGCTGCAGTGTTTTCGGGAATCGATGTCAGGCGCATCACTAAGAACATTTCTGGAGAGCAACAAATTCGGAAAATGGAGTTTAAGAAAAGAACCTCCTTTGATAAGAACCGTACAAGAGACAACAAACACAAAAGAGATCTGGAAACTCGCACAAAAACCTGGGGCACGGTCAAGTTCAAGCCGCGGACGTATAAGTCCATGAAAACCGCCTTCACACCGCCAGATCCGCAGGCCACAGCGAAACCATGGCAGCACGTGAAGAACGATATAATCGACGATTCGGAGGAGTTGAGCCATGCCAGCCGCCTGGATGTGGACAGCAAGGACGCCAGGCAGTTTATGCAGAAGCGGGAGCAGAACCATCGGCGGAACATTATAGAGACCAGTCGGTCGGTGCCCACAAAGTGGGAAAGCTTCGACGATGAGCAACAGCAGCCGTCTGCCTCTGCCAAGGGGAATAAAAAGGAAAAGTCGAGATTTTGGCAGTGCGACAAGTCCAAGGGCGAGCTGCCAACAGACGCCAAGAACTTCACATTCAAGGAACGCAACTTTTTTCGCCGAAAACTAACGATGGGTCTAACGGTGGGTGCAGTAGATCTGGATGCGGCCATCAAGGATTTGAAGAACAACTACAGCCAGATGCAGCCAGCAGGCACGAATAGCTTCAAGGCAAAAAACCGTAATCCCGCTCAGAAGCGCGGAGGCAATGGCATTCAGAAAAGCCAAAGACCCTTCCAGAAAAAGGGTAAGGGAAAAAATACGAGGGAGGAATAACAGCTAGCTATAATTAATTTCAATAAAAAAATATAAAATAAAATAACATCTATCGGATTTTTATAGATAAAACAGTAAAATGAATAAGACAAATTAACCATAAACTCTATTTAGATATTTGTGGCAATTTAAAACCTTAGCAGGCGGTTAAAATTTGGACTAGAATTTTCCGACCCTATAAATCATATAAATTTTAATCATTATCAATAGCTAAGTCGATCTAGTCATGTCCGGTAGAAACAAAATATTACAAATTGTTTCAAAATGTTGACATTAATATCATAGCTCGGTTAAGTGACTAAAAACCAAAACAAAGACCATCGGTTACTCGGGTGACAAATTAGAAATGTATACACAACATTACTACACACTTTATATAAATCTTAGAAGTAGAGTGGTACAAATACATGTGGAATAGGTCGGCGAAATAAATAAACTAAACAGAACGCAAGGAGGGAAGGTGGGGGAGATTGAAGCGGCGCCGGCGGCACAATGGATACCAGATCCAGTATGGATCCTCATCGGCCTTCAGCCATTAGCGTTGGCCACCTTGGCGATGAGCTGATTGAACTTGCCGTTGCTGGTGAGCGGCTTCTTGGCCATGCGCACTTGATCCGGCGAATGCTGTAGAAAGTAAACGACGATAAATTCGAGTGTTTGGTTGGCTTCCTTGGGGTACATCATGTTGAAGGTATAGTAGTAGCAGATCAGCTGGGCTAATATATCCGGCAGGTCGTTGTCCTTCGCGCCGAACGTGGCCATTATCTGGCCTTCGATATAAACCATAGCTTCCAGCGATTGCCTGCAGCCACCGACGCCGCCGCCATCATCCGTGGTTATGGGCGTATCTGTGGGTAAATGTAAGATTAATATATGTTCGATATTGAAGTTGCGATTTAATTTAATTGATATAGCGGAATGCGCGGAATAATGACCTTCGATAAAGGATATAATAAAATACGTTTTTATGTTTTCATCGCTACTAAAGAAGTACTCACTGACTAGAGCCACCCAGGGGGCGTTTGTGGGATTTATGTTCTGCAGCGCTTCCTTGGATAAGGGACCGTTCTCCAGATGCTTGAAGATGTAGTCGGGATCTTCATTAAAATGGTATGCAATGCCGCGCACTAAATTGGCATTCGACTCCTCCTCCAGGGAATTAATCTTCTTGTTCTTCGATCCCTTGAAGAACTTAAAGAAGCGCTCCTTCTCTCCCACCAGACGCTTCTCCAACACCCTCGGATCGATGGACATGAGCAGCTCGAAGTGTTGGTACAACACCGCCTTGTCAAATATATACGGCCAGTTCTCCTTTATCGCCGTAATGTCAGGGATCTTTTCGCTGTTATTGAAGAATGCGCGCTGCAGCGGAAAACACTCTTTCATGTACTCGATAACCGTCGATGGTTCCAAAGGTGAGCTACCACGGTAGCTAGAGATGAGCAGTTCCTTTTTCTGCTCCAGATCTCGATTGAGGGCCAACGCTTTGGCGTCGCCATTTGAGGAGGCGGCGGTGCCTCCGTATTTACGCTTTTTGCCGGAAGAGATGTGTATTTCAAACGTGCCGGAACTGGAACGCTTTTGCGGCTTGTTGAGCGCATTATTCCGGTTGATCATTTTTGAAATGAGCGACTGCGGTGTGGTGGCTATGAACTGGCCCTCACGATCCTTCTCGAGCAACGAGTCTGGATACTTTTCGGCTGCCTGCTGTGCCACCTGGCGGAAAACTCTTATAGGTATATGGACCGATCTCTCACGTAGCGCCTCTACCAAAACATTGCCTAGCGTATTCAGGCGCTTGCCCAGGCTGCCCTTGCTCCTGAGCAGCTTCATAATATCCCCAGGTACCTTGCTCCACGGTATCAAGAAGTCCTTGAACAGCGCCGAACTTTTGGCACTCGACGGTGTGACGCTAGACAGCGACAAAGTCTCATCGTTTGACACCGTCGAGTCATTGGGATTTGAGACAATACTGTTGTTGGCATAGAAGCTGGGATCTACCGAGCTGCTGGCGCGTTCCGAGCGGTTCAGAGGTGATGGTGGCGGTAGCACGATGTACTCCTCCGATTCGGCAAGGAGCATGAGCAGTATCTTCTCCTTAGCGGCGAACAAGAGCACGTCGTCCTCGCAGATCTCACAGCCGTTGCTTTCCAGAACAATTGTACTGCCAGCAAGGCCGTATTTGTGTGCTAATGAAATTAGAGTTCATTGGTTTAATTATGTATGAATAAGTTATAATTTTGACTTAATAAATATCATCTATTCTACCAATAGTTTAAATTCAAATTAGTTAATTATTTAGTTGCCGGCAAGAAAGAGAAATAAATTTAAAACTTGATGGTAGACATTCTCCAAAACCACAGATAACTATTCTTCTAAATTTCTAACTTAGATTGTACTTTTCATATTATGAAAAAATAATTTTTTGAACCTTAAATTAAAAACTAGAGTTGCCCTTACCCTTCTCAATCACATCCTTTCGCGTCGGCAAGGACATAAAGGTTTTCTTGTTCTTCCGATCGGCACTGCATATGGTAATCAATACTTTTTCAGCCAGCTCGGTCCTGGGCTTGCCTGGCTCGTCCTTTCTCTGCTCATCCTCCCTCTTTTGACCCAGCAATGGCCCAGTGGAATGTGTGGATGTTGATTCTGTCAACACACAAGAATAATTAAATGTCTAATCTGGCAGTATTTGAATATTTTCTCACCGCAGCAGCTCTCTGGCTTTTTTGCTCCTCCTGTTTGTACACCATTTTCGATTGTTGTTGCCTTCGCCGGCGCTTGGCTTGCGTTTTGATTCGGATTCGGGTGGTGGCTCGGCGGCGTCTGTTGCTGTTGAGGCTGCTGTGGCTTCATCTTTATCTCGCCGGCGGCGTGGGTGGACACGGGCGCTGCGGTGGCGACGTCCATTATTTATTTTGTATTTTTATTCGTCCAACCAAGCCTCCAAGCCTTTTTTCTCATTTAGCAGGGCTGCACAAATATTGGTGCTACTATCGACAGCATCGATACTATTTCCCTTCAATGGCAGCTGGTCTCACTTAAGTCGCGGAAACAAGCGCTCATTACAATGGCGCTGCCAGACTGTCAGACTTAACAATCGCGGCCTTTATATCGTTTTCTCCGGCTTCTGCCATTTCTCACGGTTGAAAAACTTTAAGTTTGGTGCGTAACCCTCTGGGCAGAAATTAGGTTACATGGAACACGCCGAAGGACCCTCAGGAAAATTTTGGGGAGAGGGCATGTATAATTGTTAAGTAGTGTAACTGAATAATTTAATATTTTACGCATGGAACCAAAAAATATAGTCATTCTTTTTCAACAGAAAGGTTTTCAAACACCGATGTCTGCGAATTACGATGTTTCCCCACTCCTGGATTCCTGATTCGATGTATCAGGTATCGATAGTACTATCGATAATTATAAGTGTAGTTCAAACTTCGATCAATTTAAAAGATCGTAGCACGGTCACTCAGCACGATCGCATTTATTTTTGTTTTTCTTGGTTTCCGTGGTTTTTTTTCACATAAACTTGCTGCAAATCGAGACGCAAGGGCCTCAAAGCTCAGAAAATATAAGAAAATATTCGGATACGATGGTTTGATCAGTTCAACGGTCGGATCCTCCAAACAAGGAGCGGCAAATGCGTGGAGCTTCCATTAAAATTCCCCAAAGGCAACTGCTTAATGTTTTTTTATAAGCGGATAATTACATTTTGGCTTTCCACGCACGCCCCGCGCACGATTCAAATGTGAGTAATTTTGCCAAAAACATATACATATAATAATAATAAAATAATATAATAATCCCCACCTCAGGAAGCCCTCGATCTTCTCCCTATGGGTGGTCCTGCACCTTCTTTCTATGAGCGAATCAGGTGCCAGTGTGACGAAGCTGGATGTGGAACTGGAAGCAATAAATGGCACGTTAAACTACCGGCTATACGCCACGAAGGGAAAGGACGACAAGCCCTGGTTCGACGGCCTGGATAGCTCGCACATCCAATGTGTGCGACGAGCGCCCTGCTATAGCACTTCTAATGCCACCAATACCTGCTTTGGCTCCAAGTTGCCCTACGATCAGAGCAGTCTCTACTTAACAGATTTTCACACCGAGAAGGAGCTAAACGAGAAGCTCAACGATTATTATGCCCTCAGGCATGTGCCCAAGTGTTGGGCGGCCATACAGGTGAGAGCGTTGATGGATAAAATTCTCTTTTCTCTACCTAGTTTGTGCGCATTTCCATAGAACCCACAATTAACCAAAAAATACCATTCGTTTCTCGTTTTACAGCCCTTTTTGTGCGCGGTCTTCAAGCCAAAATGCGAAACAATAAACGGTCAGGAAATGGTCTACCTGCCTTCGTACGAAATGTGCCGGATTACCTTGGAACCGTGTCGCATACTGTACAACACGACGTTTTTCCCGAAATTCTTGCGTTGCAACGAGACGCTCTTTCCCACGAAATGCACGAACGGAGCACGAGGCATGAAATTTAATGTTACGGGCCAGTGTCTGAGTCCATTGGTACCTGCGGACACTGCGGCCAGCTATTATCCCGGTATCGAGGGCTGTGGCGTTAGGTGCAAGGATCCTCTATACACAGACGACGAGCATCGGCAAATCCACAAGCTGATTGGCTGGGCGGGGAGCTTGTGCCTGCTTTCAAATCTTTTTGTTGTGGCCACGTTCTTCATTGACTGGCAAAACGCCAACAAGTATCCGGCTGTGATTGTGTTCTACATAAATCTGTGCTTTCTGATCGCGTGCATTGGGTGAGTGTTTAGATTAAAGCTTAAAATTGCACGCACTTTTTTGCTGCAGTTCTATGTAAAGGTATTTATTAAATTAATATGTATCTTAGATGGCTGCTGCAATTCACATCGGGCTCGCGGGAGGATATAGTGTGTCGCAAGGATGGCACACTGCGTCACTCAGAGCCCACGGCCGGGGAGAATCTCTCGTGCATTGTGATCTTTGTGCTGGTGTACTACTTCCTCACGGCCGGCATGGTTTGGTTCGTCTTCCTCACTTACGCCTGGCACTGGCGGGCCATGGGTCATGTGCAGGATCGGATCGATAAAAAGGGCTCGTACTTCCATTTGGTGGCCTGGTCCTTGCCCCTGGTGCTCACCATCACCACGATGGCGTTCAGTGAGGTGGATGGCAATAGCATCGTGGGCATCTGCTTTGTGGGCTACATCAATCACCCGATGCGGGCGGGTTTGCTCCTAGGCCCGCTCTGTGGGGTGATCCTCATCGGTGGCTACTTCATTACGCGTGGCATGGTGATGCTCTTCGGACTGAAGCACTTTGCCAACGACATAAAATCGACGTCGGCCAGCAACAAAATCCACCTGATCATCATGCGAATGGGTATATGTGCGCTGCTCACTTTGGTCTTTATCCTGGTTGCCATTGCCTGCCATGTCACTGAGTTTCGGCATGCCGAGGCATGGGCCCAGAGCTTTAGGCAGTTTATAATGTGAGTTTGTCTATTTTAAAATCCTTGCTCCTTGCTTTAACCCGATCATATTCTTGTTGCAGTTGCCAAATATCTTCGGTTTTTGAAGAGAAAAGCTCATGTCGCCTTGAGAATCGGCCCAGTGTGGGTGTTCTTCAGTTGCATCTGCTGTGCCTCTTTAGCTCCGGCATAGTCATGTCCACTTGGTGTTGGACACCATCCTCCATTGAGACCTGGAAGCGGTATATCAGGAAGTACGTACAAAAAAGTGTTTTGTTTCGATTTATTTCTTATTATTTTATTCTGCAGAAAATGCGGCAAGGAGGTGATAGAAGAGGTTAAAATGCCCAAGCACAAGGTCATTGCCCAGACATGGGCTAAGCGCAAGGACTTTGAGGACAAAGGACGACTCTCCATAACGCTGTACAACACCCACACGGATCCCGTGGGCCTCAACTTTGATGTAAACGATCTGAACTCCTCGGAGACGAATGACATCTCTTCCACGTGGGCCGCCTACCTGCCGCAGTGCGTGAAACGACGCATGGCTTTGACGGGAGCAGCCGCAGCTGGTGGAGGAGGAGCAGGTAATTCCTCGAGTCACGGACCGCGTAAGAATTCCCTTGATTCGGAGATCAGTGTGAGTGTGCGTCATGTTTCCGTGGAGTCGCGTCGCAACTCGGTGGACTCTCAAGTCTCGGTGAAAATCGCTGAAATGAAAACCAAAGTGGCATCCAGATCCAGAGGAAAGCATGGAGGCGGAGGCGCCAACAAGAGAAGCCATCGAAGACGGGACTACATAGCAGCGGCCACGGGGCGAAGCAGCCGTCGCCGAGAGAGCAGTACCTCGGTGGAGTCGCAGGTCATTGCCCTGAAAAAAACCACCTACCCAAATGCTAGTCACAAAGTGGGCCTCTTTGCCCATCACAGTTCCAAGAAGCAGCAGCACGGCAGCTCGATGAAACGGCGGTCAGGGAATGCGGGTCTGGATCCCTCCATTCTAAACGAGTTTCTGCAAAAGAACGGCGACTTCATCCTGCCATTTCTTCAGAATCAAGATATGAGCTCCAGTTCCGAGGAAGAGAACTCGCGAGCGTCGCTCAGGATACAGGATCTCAATGTAGTTGTGAAGCAGCAGGAGGAGGAAGATGAAGAGGAGGAGCGGCTCAGTGAGGATGGCGGCATCCAAATTGAAGAGCTACCAAATAACAAGCAGACGGCCTTTGGGAGTTTTCTCAAGAATATGAAGAAATCAAACGAATCTAATGGGCATTCCCGGCACTCCGCTAGGAGTCGTCAGTCCAGAAAATCCACCCGCAAGAGCCAGCCCAAGAACACAGGTTTAGAGCTTGATTTTAAGCGGGATTGTGTAAGGAATCGGACGAATAACGACTCCCTCAGCTGCTCCTCTTTGGAACTGGACGTGGCCCTGGATGTAGGCAGTCTTCTGAATAGCTCCTATTCGGGAATGTCCCTTGGGAAGCCCCAGAGCAGAAACAGCAAAACCAGCTGCGATGTGGGCATCCAAGCGAATCCGTTCGAGCTAGTGCCTACCTACGGCGATGAGGAACTGCAGCAGGCCATGCGACTTTTGAATGCGGCCAGTCGGCAAAGAAATGAAGCGGCAGCCAATGATGATGGAGTCGGCACGGAGCTGCAGTCTTTGTTGGGTCTGTCCCAGCGGCATCACAGGATAGAACCGACATTTATGAGCGAGTCTGACAAGCTAAAAATGCTGCTGCTGCCCTCGAAATAACAAGACTTTAAAAAATGCATTTACTTTAGTTTGGTAAAACTCGATTAAAAAGGTCCAGTTTCCGTTGTCAGTTTTAATGACGATTAGGTATTTTAGGGTTTAAATAGAGTAAAGCCAAGCTCAATTAAGTCAAATCGTTTCGAGATTTATAAATATCAGACTGCAGAAATGTGTGTAGCTATGCGATCCTTAAATAATTCAAAACGTACTTTTTAACTCATTTCGATTGATAAATTGGTTTAACAAATGGATTTAATAGATGCTGGAAATTGTATAATTTTTCCTTTGTTTAGATTATTCGGTAACCTTTACCTTTATCTTTACCTACTTTTTTAATCAATCTGACTTCACTTGGCTTTACATTGGTCCTAAACTCATATCCTTTACAAAAGAAACGGGACATTTTTTATTCTAATTTGATATTTTCTTTGAACTATACGCAAAAAACGTGATATTTCATCAAAAACTCCAGGAATGCACTAGAAGCGGTAGCTTAGCAAAACAAAATAATGATACCGGCTTCCAAGCATGTTTTTTATGCATCCTTACACTTAAGCCCCATCAAATTTACTCTTAATTGTTTTATTGAACAAATTAGGCGTGACTACAACGAATTACGAATGCTCATACATAGTAAGAACTACGAATGTTATTTTACAAAACTCTCCTCCCTTAACTTAGCTCATAAGGAGTTCTCTGACTTATGTCAAAGAATATGCTAAATCTAATAGATAAATAAGGACGAATCCTGGTTATATTATTTTTTTTTAATTTAGCATTTTCTTTGGCGTGGACTTTCAAATAGACTCTAGATTATACATATAAACCTAATGTACAATACGAAGTACAGAGACAGTACCTCTCGAAGTGCCTTTATAAGATTACAAAATATCAATAATCTGTTGTCTGTGTAACGAATAAACCGATTTTAAATCCTCAAAATAAGCATATAAAATGGTGTTTTAAAATGGCAATAAATCAGTATTCTGTTTGATATCTTACACCAATATAAAATTAATAAACAAGTAACGAAGAACTTCAGGAAGCCGACTATTTATACATACCCAACTCACAATCGATCATAACTTTGCCAAAAATTCATTAATTTCAATGCATAAAACATTTCTGTGCTGGTTTTTACTAGCTTAAAACATTTGCATACTGCAATTGACACTTTATAAAATTATTTTGTGTTTGAATTTTTGAAAATTTTAAAGATGTAACCCCTTACAAAATTTTGAAAAAATTACAACAAATTTTTCCATTTGGGACAATGCTAGATAGATTCAGCTGTTAATGCTGATCAAGAATATATATGGTTTATAGGGTCGGAAATGACTCGTTCACTGCGTTGCAAGCCTTTGACTAAAATTGTAATACCCTGCAAGGGTATGGAAACATCTTTTTAGGTTATTTAATTCCGTATATTCCTAGGTGTAAAATCTCGGTGTTCAAAGTTTGCAACATGAAGGGCTTTTTGTTTATATTATATATACACTCTAACCCTCTTTACTTTTTGCTGATTGAGCAGTTTGAACTCTGGGCCCCAGATCACCGTGTTGGCATACTCCCCGAGCAGATAACACGCCACATTGAAGCCCACCAGCAGTGCAAGGAATAGGTACCGCAGCGGCAGGGGCAAAACCTCCAGAATCGGGTAGACCCACTCTCCACTGAAATAACGCACAATGTGCAACCAGATGATGTAGAGCAGGATGAAGGAGACGTTGCCCGCAAGCCCGGCCAGGCGCGTTGGGTAGCGGCGAAAGCAGGTAAACAGGTCCATAAGGGCCATTAGAGCCACATTGGTGTGCACTATGTGGTTCAGCCAGCTGAAGAGTAATAGAGAAAAGTTCAATTACAGAGGCCTAACTGTGGAAACCTTTGCACTTGCCTGGGGAAAATAGCATCCAGCGCCGAGGGAAAGATGAGCTCACGGTCCCACATGTAGACGACCCAGAACGACAGGCAAACATTGTGGGCCACTGGAAAGGCAAAGGCCGAGAATATGTAGTCCCGAGCGGATCTCAGCTTGGACTTTGGCTTGACGGTGACTGTGTTGTCGCCAAAAAGATCATTGAGCAGGGCCAGTGTGTGGTAAATGGCCTGCAGGATGACGTCCAGGAAGGTGAGATATTTGAATTTGCCACCCCATCGAGCCTTCAGTTCGTCCACCTCGTCCACCACCAAGTCCTTCGGCCAGTGTACCCGGAAGTGGTAGTAGTATATGCCGTAAGAGAATTGAGCTGCGGCCAGCAAATGGAGAAGGAAGCGCAGGTACTTAAAGGCCCCGCTGGTGTAGGCATCGTTGCATGTGTCCAGCCGGGCGACTGTGGCCTCGGCAGCCTCCTTTTCGGCTTGGAACTCGCGCACCTGCTTCTTGCTCTTGGCCATGATTGCGGAAAAACCGGCCGGTAGAATCCCACGCTGCCACGACGCTCTTAACAAAATAAATAAAAATTGGACAGCTGATTGGGGATGTTACAAACGACATGTGGGAAACCAAAGTTATTCCAAGACAACAAAAAATATTTTTGTTTTTCTCCCGTACGAATTACATATGCTAGAAAGGGAAAGAATATGTCATTTTAAACCAAAATCAAGTTGGCAGCCCCACCCGTCAGTGGCGCCAATCTTTAAAAAGTAATGAAAGCAACGAGTCAGGAGTTTTTAATCAAAACCTGGAGTTGTATTTGTATACTAGAATTGAATTACAGGTTGTAACGCAGGTATTCAAAGATGGTTTTGTTGGTGCGTGTCTGTGCCTTGATATGATAGAGTTGTTGCAATCGAGAAGGCAAATATATGTACGTACAAGTTCACTTAACGCTGAGAGCTGATCTCAATGGAACTCAATTAAAATCTACGAGCTACTATAATCTCAAGTACAATGCAAGTTGTATTACGAATAGAATCAATATCATTAGCAAAAGGTGTTCTGGATCTTTACCTTTACACACATATGTATATATTTGTTTCTTTTACGGGTCCAAAAAGTTTGTTAAACTCTAAGCAAAGTACGTTTAAATCACGGAATCTTGGTCATGCAAAGATTACAAATCTTACGGTGCGTCTTCATAATTTAAGGTTGCTTTTCGACCTTTTGCCTCAGGAAATTAATTTATCTGTGAGGTAAATAATTGAAGCAAGACTTCTTTTTCTTTTATTAATCATTACTTGTATATTGTGGCTAATCAAACGCGACTCTACATGCAACCAAAACGTAGTGGACACAGCCTAGTTAATTTTGCGCTTGGCCAACTTCACCTCCTTGGCCCAGACGGTGTTGTTAAGGAACTCGCCCAGCAGATACAGCGACAACGTGAACCCGACGACGACCACAAAGAAGAGAATACGCTGCGGCAGCTGCAGAACCTCCAGCACCGGATACACCCAAACGCCTGAATAGTGCTTCACAACGTGAATCCACACCAGATAGGCGCCCATGAAGGTGGCCAGTCCGGCGAGACCCTGACTACGCTTTGGATACGACCGGTACGAGGTGAAAATTTCCAAGACGATGAAGACGACGATGTTGGTATGTAGGACATGGTTCAGCCAGCTGAAAGAAACATAGTTTTATTACTTTATAGGTCAGTCGTAGAAGAGATAAGTATTCTAACGCGAGCAGTCATCACAAAAATATATATTAATCCTGCTTGAAATTTTAGTAACATTTTACTAGTGTCGTCGCTTCCTCTTTTATTTACATTGCTTCAGCCCTAAGCTGGGGAATAGAAGATTTTGCATCTAATATTTTGTTTTAAAATTGGTATTTGCAGCACGTATTTGGAAGCATTGCTACAAAAGCGGTAATGAATTCATTAAATAAAGACCTCAGTCAAACTATGTATGAAAATATAAGCAAATACATATATAGTAACTGAACAGCAATTAAACCAAATGAATAGTCAGTCCTAGGGTCGTACATCGTCCTTGACCCAAAACATTTTTTAGTTGACATACTATGTACATAAATAAATGAAATAGGAAATAGCATCGCTTATAAACAAAAGCGGACAAGTTAAGATAAACAGAAATGATTGCAATATAAAGAAATGTATCCCTTTCCTATTAGGCTCGCCAGGTTGACAGGATATGACACACGAGCTGCCCGTCAGATATCTCACCTCGGGAAGACGGGGTCCAGCACCTTGGGGAAGACCAGCTCTCGATCAATGGCATACAGGGTCCAGAAGGTCACGCCCACATTTATGGCCACTGGGAAGGCCAGAGTGGCCATTAGCCAGTCCTTGAACCTGCGCACCGCTGGCGGCTTTTTGGGGGTCAGCTCGTTGGTTCCCACAAAATCATTGACCAGCGATACGGTGTAGTACAGTGCCTGAATTATCTGTAAGTGAATAGATGAACAATAGACGTGTGTCAGATAATATGGCGTAATCTAAAGGGTTGCTTAAGTGGAGTGGAAGGAAAATTTGCACAGCAAGAAATAATATTAGTTATAAATCTCTTACATTATTTGAAATATTCAGAGCTTTCAACACAAGTTAGAAAAATATGTATATAAAAAAAAATGCAAAGCACGACCTACAAATTTACAACTCAATTTGTAAATAAAATAATATTTAATAACTTCAAACAATTTCTGCAGCATTTTAAATAATTTGTTATTAATAATTCAAAACAAAAACAATGTATTGAAAATACCATGCTCTAAACTTGTAAACAAACAAATGTAACTTATTGAAGACATATTTTCCCGCCGTGTAGCTTTAATATGCGTGCTAAACCAGTTAAACCGTTTGGTGACCGTGGAAAAAAAGTGTAACCGCTGGCGAACTTTAAACCCCACCAACCCCCGTTGTAAGCTATTGATTACCGCATCCAGGAACGTTAGATATTTGAATTTGCCCCCCAGGGATGATGGATCCTCATCTCCGGCTCGCTGGTGGGAAACTCGACGTAGTTGTAGTCGTAATATATGCCGTAGCTGAACTGCACGGCCGCGGTTAGGTGCAGCAGCGTCCTCAGGGCGCCAAAGACGCCCTGGTACACGGAGTTCCCTCTGCCAGATGCCATTTTCCCAGCTGCAGCTGCTGCTCTCGATTGATTTTTCACGACGCTCGGCACCAGAAACACAACAAATAAACCGGTCGGTTGTTCGTCGCTGAAAATACTGTGCTGCCAACTCGCCCGTCGCCACCCTCAGAGGGCCAAGTGCGACCCTGCCGTGGGAGTGAGAGAATCCCAATTGCCGCGTAAAGGTAGTATTGTCGTAAACTGCGTTAGTGGACGCTGGTCACACTGCACCTAGCGTCTTTAATTAAACCGGCAGATCATATCGTTTATGGTTTTAAAAACTACTGGATTTGCTATATTTGCTGTAGGATCCGGCTTGCTTTGTGGCATATGCATATCTATCTAGGCTGGCAACATGAAAACCGACTTATTGACCCAAACAACAGATGATACATGTGCATTTACGGACTCAACTTCGAAGCATTCTTTGGTATGTACATATTACATATATACATATGTGATTTCTTTTCTTTGGCAGCCCTTTGTATAAAATTTAACTTAAGGCTTGATTTGCACCGCCAGACGAGTCTCCCCGCCTGTGCTATAGCAAGAGTATAAAGCCGTTTGGTGGCCGATGGTTTCTAGCTTTCTTGAACAATAAGAAATATTCTATTTTAGCTTCGCCTGATGGCGAAAATATGCAGAAAGCGCGGGAAAATATTACAAGCCGAGGCGTTATAAGCCGTGAAGCTACATACATACATATGTGAAGCAGGTTGATAAGCTGAGAGCTATGATTGCTGAACTTGAACAGAACGCTGAGATATATGAGCCTAAGTCCAAAGAAGAGGCGTTATTACTGGTTGTTTTTGAAAAATTTGTAATGGTGAGGAAATATTTTGAAAACTAAAAACCAATGTTAAGACAATGCAATATTTATTTTAATACATTTTCAGTTGCTTGACTGACTGGGAAATAAAAAAAATCTACAGATTTATTGGATTACATATCGGACATGTATTGGAAAAAGTGGTAGTCGGAAACCGGGGCTAAAATAATGTTGGTAAGGCCACCTAATAATATACGTCAACCTAATTATGTCGAATATTAGTTAAGTTGTATCCCGGTTAGTAATCCCTTTCAGTCAGATGAATTATCGACTTTCTTATCTATACATAATATGCACATTTATGGGCTTACCGCACAGAGGAAGGTTAAGAACTTGAATTTGCCGGCAAATGGTACAGTGTTGGGCATATCGAGGGTATGGAATATGTAAACGCCATAGTTGAATTGGAGGACGGCCGTTAGGTGGAGCAGCAATTGCACTGCCTTGTTGAAGCCCGGCGATGTGGAGCCCTTGCTCTTTGATTTCGTCTTGGGCTTGGCCATGTTATACCTCCTAGTGTCAGATATGTACTGATTATGGTATAGGCAGGCAGAGTCCAGTCACTAGCAATAATCTTACGTGTAGAACGGTCGCTATATGTTTGCTCACAGTGTGTACTAACTAACAGGTATTCCTTGCATTGAGGGTGTTATTTTCTTGTTATTGGATTTTACTGCGCTTATGGCAGAATGTTAACTCAAATACACTTTAATTGCATATTTTTACTCATATATGAGAAGTGCTTTAACATCAAGGGCCCACTTTATGTACTTGGCCTGCGCTTTGAAACTGATAAGGTATGCGCTTATCAGTCGTACTCTCAATCGCCGTGGTACAAAGTATTGCCACTCGAGAATGAATCGACAAAAGCTAACGGGAAAAAAGAAAATAAATCTGAATCTGTTCGCATAATCCGCAACGGAACTTGTCCCGCCTCCTCTACCTCCGCCTCCGCCCCCATTGAAGCGCAGTGTAAGCTATGAATAGCTGCGGATATACACCAGCGGCATATTTATGAGCCGGGACAATAATGGTTCGACGTATGTTCGCAGCTAATGGCAACTATCGATTCCCCACCCGATTCCACCCACCCCCATGCCGCATGTAAAGGTCAAGGACTAAAGACGACGTCATCAAAGGCCCCTAACTAACTGTATTATCAGGTATAATAATATCGAGGTGCTTTCTTTTACCTTTTGTTGCTTCCATGTATCGGTTGACAGTCGTGTATTTTCCAAAGATCTAATATTGACGTAATATTTAATTCATCGATTAAGTCTTTGACAATGCAGTAGAATTAACTGGTATACATGTTCCCTACAGAAGTTTGCTTCTCTCTAAGAAATTTACTATTTAAAGAAAAATAGAAAGAACCTCTCGGTCTCCATTTCACGCTTTAGCTGCAATGTACAAGCCAAGCAGCGACAAAGCTTATCATTTCCATTTAGTTCCGAACAAATAAATCTGGACTCTTAGAGGGTGAGGGGAAATTCACTGTTTATTCTATGGTCTCTACTTCGCAATCGCTATCAACGCCCCCGGAATCTAGATTAATTTCTGTGAGCTCTTGGTCATCCTCTACGACAGAAGGGGCGCCTAGGTCACCAGTTTCCATTCGAGGAGCACCCACAATATCCACTGACTGCTCCTCTACGTCCCTGGCAGCTTGCTCCATGGCTGCTGCCTGCTCAAACATGGGATTATCAAAGGCCCGTTCCCGCACTTCTCCGCTTTCCGGGTCATAGGCCATAATCCCCAAGCGATCAACTCCAGATGAACCTCCATCATGGGAGCCGTCGCCACCAGCACCACCCGGTACAGTGTTCTCAAAGCGATTAAACAGCAGATTCCTGCGCAATCGAACGCCCAAGTGTCGCCACCTCCAGCGCCTCGTGTCGTGGATCCAGTGGGGTATGCGATTTAGGTAGGGATTCTCCGGCATATAGTGGGCCAAGATGATAACCGAGACCAGGCCCACTAGAGCCATGCAGAGGAGAATCAGGAGAATAGACGAAACGCTCACGTTCGGATTGTAGGGATGACCGGAAACCTTCAAGGTGGTGCCGACCATTTTCCTTGCCTTCATCAGAAGCTCTAGGAACTCCAGACTGCGCTCACTGTAACCATGACGATCCGTGACCACGGCCTGCAGGTGGTTGCCAAACTGCCGAGAGCCCACGAACTCCACATGGAGATGGATCTGATCCTTCAAATCCTGCTTCGTGATGAGCTCGTTTATCTGGGCCGTGACCTGTTTCTTATCCCGTACGGAGCACTGACTGGTGGGCGTCGAAATGATGGCGCCGCAAATTAGGCAACAGGAGCCCAGGGGACGCACTGGAGACAGGCAGTGCGGGACCTCACACTGTTCCTGGACATTATGGCAAACGGACTCCAGCAGACGGTCGAAATCCTTGTGGCAGCCGCAAAGTTCTCCTCTATAGTACTCGACCTGGACGCCCCGGGCATTGTGGAAGAGGTATTGACCCAAATCCCTGGTCAGTAGTTGCTCCAAATAGAGTTTCGATACCGATGAGCCAGCCAGTATGAGCTGCCCCACCCTCAGGTACTCCACATTCTCCAGATCAAAGGCCAGCGGGCCGTGGCCCTTGATTATGACTTGCTCGTTGTCACAGGGAATCCTCTCGAGCTCTGGCACAGAGGTAGATAATTCGTTGTCCCTATCGGTCCTCCAGGTGCCGGGATCAAACCATTTGCTCGACTTGGGTTCCTTTAGGAGAGCTACCTTCAAATGTTCAGTTTCGCATTGGGAATTCGCCGTTGAACCGAATGTTATAGTAGATTCTTCGGCCAGAAGAATGGCCCCGTTTCGGGGGAAAACTAAACCTTCAATGGAAAGTTCCTCTGGTAAAGGTAGCAGGGCTGGATAGTTTGATGGGAAAGCCACAAGATCCCGGCTACACGGCATGTAGCCATCTATCCAGGCAGAGGGATCCTTGAAGTCCAATCCGCCAGAGTACCACTTAGTGGCCACAGTCACTTCCAATGCGATAATAAGAAGCCCCTGAATGGGCAGCAACCACAGCATGATGACGATGTGAACAGAATGAACTTCAAACTAGATTTGTAATTTGTCAGTGCATGTTCCTCATGTCTCATATTTGGGGGCGTTAGTCCATCATCTGTGTGGAATGTGCCAGACTGAATTTCAGATAAAAATCCATATAACAGACCATAAACAGGCAAAAGACAATGGGACAGGCAAATGAACACCGTAGGAAATATATATGTACAAATTCAGATATAAATATAAGCTCAAAAGAAAGGCACAACTAATTATATTATATATTTTCAGTTTCACTCTTTGCAAAAGAAAGGAAAACTCTTATCTAATTTGCTAGTAAACGTAATTCCTAAGCTAATGATGCTGTGGCTGTGGAATAAGTCAAGTAACTTATATTACCTATGTTTATAATATTTTTTACTCAGAATTCCTAAAAGTCAGCATTGCGCACTCCATAAATTTTTGTTTTAAAAATATCGCACTTATAAATGTTGGAAAACAAGCAACAAACACGTGTACCTATGAGGAATCTATGTACTATATACAGGTTCACAGTTTTCCTATAGATACTGCCTACTAAATTCGTATTTCGTCTGGAACACAGACAGAATTTCCTTTTTTTTTATCGCTACAACAATGCAATTGTTTGTCGGAAAATAGTTGAAGTTTATTTTTTTATTTTGATTGTGCTGATATAAACAATTTTCCCGCCCATCCGATGCTTGACGGAAGCCATTGGAATGCCCAAAAAAAGAAAAGAAGAGAAAAAATGGCCACAAAAACAATTGAAAACCGGATGGTAATGGCACCGAAAAATATTCGTGGGACTACATGAAAGCCCACCGAAAAAATGGGCGAGTGCAGATCTTCTGTTGATTAAAGCACTTTATGCTCACCAGATCAAAGTACATTAATCAAGGCCACGCAAGGTCGTGAAACAACAAACTAAAATCTTTTGCACGTTAATGGAAACTTTGAAGTACAAAAATTATGTTCGAAACGTGTGGAAAAGCGATTTTGACAATTTTTGCCTTCTTTATTGGGTAATTTTCCGCAACTATAAATAACCAAAAATAAAACCCAAAAATGAAGTGCATTTTAACAATAAGGAGAGCTATATGTATTGAAATATATATTGATAATTTTATTTCCCTTGTGGGTATATTAAATATAATGGCATTCTATTTATTAAGCCTATAAACCCCAAAGAACAAAATGAGAATATACAAATAAATATAAAAGTATTTCTTCCTTTGTGGGTCACAGCTCGTTTAAATTATAGGATTGTTTAATGGTTTCAATACAATTTATAGAAAGTAATGCTTAATGTTAAATTCTTTGTCTCTCAGTAGGTCACGTAGTTAAAATATATGAACGTATATAATTTATTATACTTCAGTCTTTAATAGCTCATACGGTACATTTTTTCTGCACAGACAAGAAGTTTTCCGGTTTATTTACCCATTGAAAAATGGAAATTCCCCGTTCCCATGATGACAACCACTTTAAGATATTTGCTTGTGTTTTCCTTGGCTTTCAATTGTTGCCAAGTAGCTGAGAAAAATAGGCTGATCGATCGATTGATCGATCGATTTCCTAAACAACTTTAACGATATGTAAATAAGTGTGGACGCCGGCCAACTGCCTCGTATGGCATATTTTCATTGGCGCCCCAAAGATAATCTGGCATTCGTCAGTTCCATAAATTTTTGGCAACAAAAGAATAAAAAAAAAGCGCAAACATCTGAGCAAATAAAGATGGAAAACCGCAAGATGCTGGAAAAAGTGCATACAGGAGGCATTGTGGCAAGATATCTGCAAGATACTCGCGTAACTCAGAGTTGTTGACCCAGCGCTGTGCAATGGAAAAAAGCATGGATAAAGCATGGGCATCCCAACGAGCAGAGAAACAAATAAACAAACATATGGCAGGCATAAATGCGAAGAATAATCATTTTTCTTTCGCTCAATTTCGGTCAGTCGACACTTGAAATAACCAAAAGCGGCGGCGGCCGCATTTCCGTCGTGGTTTTTAATTCTCCATAATTCACGGCATATATATCTCTTGGCAGAATCATAAATTACTTGTAGATTCGTACTCACCAGCGACCAGTAGGAGAGCAACTTGATTTTCTGGGGCAGCGACTCCGGTACAAGGCGACGGTTCAGGCTGGTCTTTAGCTTATAGCTGCGCTGGATCTCAAAGGAGCTGTAGTACAATCCATAGGCGAACTGGCCCAGGGCGCACAGGTGTATGATTGTCACGAAGACACGCGACTTGTATAGCTCCACTTTGGTCATCTTGAGGATTTCCTTCCTAGCAACAAAAAGTAGTCCTGCACGAACACAGAGGCCAATGGAAGGGAAAATTGAAAGGTGCACAAGGAAAATAGTATTACAAATTTCCTAATGCATTACTCTTAACAAAACCTACATAACATATATGAATGAATTTCAAGACTTTAGTACAATTTGGAATTTTCTTAATGCAATTTAAGGCTTATGGATTACAATTAACTTGAAATCTAAGTGTTTTCTCATTAATGAGCATTGTTTTATATATTTTCTCTTTGTGCAGTACAGTAGTTCTCCTCATAAGTACACAACAAAGAATGACGCTTCGCCAAGGTGTTTCTTGCCTCTTGAGCCACGAAGGCACCTCGACAAAGCGCGCACAAAATTTAAATCAATATTTGCGTCACCGACATAAATATTTAAGCCCCCCCCCCCCAAAAAAAAAAAAAAAAAAATTAAACTACGGCTGGAATTCTAGAAAATCCGGCGGACCATGCACCCCATGGTTATATGCTATATGCCAGTGTTTATAATTGGGTTATGTTCATAATTTGACGGTTTCTTATGGGCCATATAATGGCAGCATTTGTTGATTATTTCACATTTGTTTCACTCTCTAAACAAATCACCAGCACACGCACACTATATGTATGTATATTTCCTGATTTCTAGACTTATTTGGAGCCTATTGCCCGATATCTTCTGCCTTGACCGACGCTCCTCGCGCGCGTGCCACAACTGAGCGTATGGAAAACTGGAGTCGCACTGGATGCGTTGCCCATACGCCGTGTTGCCTCCTGAGCTCTTTTCCAATTGTACTTGTGCTGTTGCTTCTGCTTGTGCTTCGGTTTCTGCGGTGTCGCTTTCGGTTGTTCTTGTTCTCTGTTGTATCGCTCCTGGTGCGTGCTGCGCATGTCCGGATTCGGGTTTCGCGGTTCCGGGAGTGCGTTTAATGGATGGTCCAATCACCTGAATGAATCACACACACATTGCAGCCCATTGAGATGCTTTTGGTGTGTGTTTTTTCCGAGTGAATAAACAGATTAGCACCTTGCAGTCATCAGGAGATAACTTTGCGGAGCTGATAAGCATCTTGGTTTATTTTGAAGGAGTACTGCGTCAAAGCAAAAGATAACCAAATAAGTAAAGTATTCAAATATAGATAGCAAGCTTATGTACTATTGGTTAGTAGTTTCTCTTTAGAATTTATATGGCCTATAAGGCTTAATAGAATGATTACAAATTCCCCCATAAACTGGTAATTTGTAAAAATGAACGTTTAAATAAAATAAAACACAAAATCTTAATAAATATAGGTCGTTAATATAGTTATGATTTATGATTAAATAAATTTATTCTTTTTTTTAGGGGCAGGGCCATAGCAGCGTATCGTTATTTCTTATGACGTCCACTTAACAAGCTAAAATTAACTTACTTATCAAGAATCGGCCTGTTTAAATCAAATGAATCTTTATCTTATTAAAATACCATTCAAACTTTCTTTTATTTCCCGCCTCAAGATTACTGAATGCCCCGAAACTTTGGCTAAATGTGACACCCGGGCACTGGTCACACTCGCCCAAGAAGTATTCCTGGTGTTTTCTTTCAAATTCAAAGTAAAGTCATGTCGTAACCTGAAGCTGTACAGCACACAGACGTCTCTGGTAGCTCTAAATTCTCAGTCCAGGCAGTCCGGCTGAAAACTCCAGCTTCGGGTCAAACGCCAGCCATGTCGGCGGCCTCGAAGATTACTTTGGGCATGGCCGTGACCGTATCCACGGCGATCATAGGTTATGTGCACTATAAACAATCCGCGGACCGGTGAGTAGTAACACCTATCGTTGTGTGGGGAAAGTACTAATTTGGGGATCTTTTCTTCGTAGCCTGAAGCTGCACGACGGGGTCTTGAGAGACGTGGAGCAGCAACAGCGGCGAAAGCACGAGAACACCTATGCTCTGCAGCAGCAAATAGACATTACCAAGCAACTGAAGGCCCAAGAGACGTCGACCCCAGACAAAAACCTCGTCAGCGAACCCGCCCCATGCAAGTGCAAATGCTGCACCGAATCGCTTGGTCGCCCCACCTCTCTGGCTGGCTGTTCCAAACAGCCTCAGCAGAAGCAACATCAGCAGGCAAGAGCTATGGAGTCCGGAGGTGAAGAAGAAGCGACATCGGGCGCTCCCACCCGGAAAGACGAAATTTAATCAGTAATAGTACAGCCAAGGCGTGTTAATAATTAACAAAAAAAAAGCGATAAACTGCAGTTGAATATAAGCATTTTGTTTTTAAAATGTTTAATGTTGTTAAACTATTTTATTTTATATGCCAAAAGAATGAGAAGGTATTGTATGTGAAACAAGTCCCTGACGAAAGCTGAATGAAGCATTACTTTAGCCTAAGTGTTCAAATTATAGCTCTCTAAGGAGCAGACACCAAAATATAAACAACAATGTTTTTATTTTTACACTCTGATGGGGTGAACTCTCTGTATTGCAATCGTCTGTTATTAAAATTTATTTTTGGGAAAAGTGAAGTTTAAAAATACAATAACTAAGCCAAAAAGGCAGTAAATTTAATTCGGAAAGCTTTCCAATGCTAGTTTTTACTAGGTTAAAAATTCTGCAGACTCAATTGAAAAATTTTTAAAATCAAAAATTTTTTAAATTTTTTACAATTTTAACGATGTAACCCCTATAAAATATTTAAAATTTGGACAAAAAAATATTTTGGCGGACACAGCTAGATTGATTCAGATTTTGATCCTGATCAGGAATATATATGATTTATAGGGAAAGCTGTCCCGAGCTAGTTTTTACCACGTTAACAAATTTGCATACTCAGAGTAAGTATTTTGTAGATGGAAATAACTGAAATTATAATCCCATTCTTTGAGTAGGTATTTTTTACATTTTTATACCAATTTTTCCTAAAAATCAAATTGAAAAAAACTCATAACTAAGCCAAAAACGCCTTAATTTCAATTCGGAAAGTTTTCCTATGCTAGTTTTTAGTAGGTTAATAAATCTGCATACTCAATTTAAAATGTTAGAAAATTGAATTTTTTGACAATTTTAATTATCGTTTTTTGCAAAAATGGAAAAACTGGTAAAAATTTCGATTTCCTCCAAACATTCCTAGATCGACTCAGCTGTTGATGCTAATCAAGAATAATACGATTTATAGGGTCGGAAATGATTCGTTCACTGCGTTTTAAGCTTCTGACTGAAATTAGAATTCCCTTAAATTTAAATATTTAATTAAAACTTTATATTTTTCGGGAAAAGTGAAATTCACTGTGTTTTAAGCTTGTGACTGAAATTATATCAGGCAAGAGTACCAAAAGAAATACAAGATGGCATATTCTTTCAAATGATCCTCTGTGAAAATCACAAAAACCCAAGTATAAGCTGCTTAGTCACGATTTTACTGTTTACATTTAGTATTTATTACTCAATTTTATTATTTACGAATGTATAATTAATCTGTATCTGTATAATTACAATTCTAATGGGCGCTCGGTAAACGTTATTTCGCGGGGGTTTGTACATGGGTGGCGGTGGAACACACACACACACCCCATCATCATAATCTTGCCTACTCCTAGTCGTCGGTTATGCTCTCCACTCTCCATCCAACTTGATAAAACAAAGGTATTGTAAAAAAACCGTCGAGAATAAACTACAATATACTTGACGACGTCACTTGTCCGTTTCTCTCTCTTATAATTTCCACCGAATTGGAAAAACTGTATTTGGAGATTTAATAACGTCCACCACCGCCGCCACCACCTCCGCCACCGCCTTTGCGACGGTCACGATCATTGCCACGATCTCGTTCGTTGTTCAAGTAGTTGCCACCGCCGACGCCATCGCCTCGGCCGCCGCCCCGATCCCGCCTGCCCCTGGAGCCAGATCGGCTGCGAGAGCCGCGTCGGCGGCTGCCGGGCGAGCGGGAGCGTGAGCGGGCACGACGACGGCGGGAGTAGAGATACCTGCGAAGTTCCCGCGAAATTGGCTTCAAGTGCATGAAATTGCAGAAGCCGGACCGAGTGCATTCCCCCATCTCGTACTGACGACAGCAGGCCTCGCGGAAATCGGTGACCGGTGAAAGTTCCGAGTAGACGGGACGACCGCCGAACCAGCGGTTGTTTAAATCATTCGCAGCCTTCTCCGCATCAGCCTCGTTTCGGAACTTGATGTACACGTTGCCCACGAGGTGGTCTCCCAGATTGTCGCAAACGTTCATCTCCTCGATCTCGCCGTACTTGTCCTCGCACTCAACGAAAACGTCCTCGAAGAAGTTGTCGTAGTGCTCCTGCATCTCCTCGTCGGAGACATTGGCCACGAGATGCGAGCCATCGGCTGACTTGGCCGAGTTCTGCGGATTCACGTACAGATTTTGGAGTAGAACCGTCTGCGAAAAAGTGGGTTTGTTGTGGATGCGTGAGCAGCGATCGCCGTGTCGGCATGCGCCAATCTTGAAGTAGAACGAGCAGTTGACTCTGCGGAAAAAGGTCAGTTAATAACCCCGAGATGAATGGGATGAACGGAGTGCACGGTTAGCGCCATGCGACTTACTTGTCCTTTTCTGTGCCAAAAATGGATGCCAAGTACTCGGCCATGCTGGTGACGGCTCTATTGTACGGATGCTACAGCCGAAATGTAAATCCTAGTTGCGCGTTTGCCTCTCCAACGCGTACGTACTAGAATCGCCCGCTAACTCTGTGTATTTTTCGCCAAGCTGTAATTTATTTTCGGTTTTGCCGTAAAAAGCAGCGTCTGGTCTGGTTTTATTTTGTAGAGCGTTGCCAGCACAAAAAGGGGTTGGTTGCCATAAAGCGGCTATCGATACATAGGTGGTTAGTCACACTTCCGTGCGATAGTCACGCACGAGAAATGAGAACATTTTCAGTATTCCTCATATATTTAGTTTTTCATTTATAGGATTCCCTATTTGACTGGAAGGACTGAAAATATAGGCAGATGAATATAGTTATATTTATAATATATATATATATTTTCAGTCATTCAGCGACTTAGAGGTCGTTGAAAATATCGACCAAACGAAAAAATGCCTGTGTGGCTACAGGATATATATCTACGTTTTGGAAAGCTAAATTAAATAAGTTGTAGTTTTAAATAATTTAAGATTATATAGAATACAAAAGTGGAAAACATCTTTGTGTAGTTCCAAATCCGGCTAAATGAAACAGTCAATACATCGCCGATATCTTCATTTATTTTATTTATTATTTTTTTCCTAAAACAGTCACAAATAAAATACAATCTTCAAAACAAAAAGTAAATTAACATTGCTATGGAACGCTATTTTTTTTTCAAAAGATACAATTAATTTAAAAAAACTTTAATGATTAGTTAAAAGACGCGCTCTGGGGGTGTTATTGAGTGTTCGCCTCTGGTCACACTGTTTTGAAAATAAAAAAGAAATAGAATATAATAGGTCGAGCTGAAATCGAGCAAGTATAAAACGAATTAAGGAACTGTAAACATAAGTGTAATTGAAAAACCAGTGATTTATCATCGCTCGGAGATAAAGTGCTTATCATCATGTTTTCCTAGAGCATTTTACCATAATCAGCTGTCGTCGTCCGAATTTCCCCACAGTTTTTGCACGCCTTTCTGTTGTTGCAGTTGCGGCAAAAGGGAAATCGCAAAAGAACGCACGAGGAAGAAGGGAAAAAGAGAAGAAAAACTCAAAACAAAGCCCGTTGTGCGTTTGTTTTCTTTTAGGAGTAGCAAGTAAGGGATAAACATACATATTTACGTCATTCAACTGATAAAGTCATTTAATAAAATAACAAATTACAATCAATGGCAAAGCAAGAAGAGGAAATGTATTTATCCAATGTGTTTATTATCGGATGGCCTTTGTTAAAGTACAAAAAATATATGTATTATTGCTTTGCTATCGTCATTAAACATTTATAAAGTTTATACTTGTGTTAGCTATCAAAAACTACCTAATTATAGACAACAAAAATATACATTTAATGAATTCAATTTAATTAACCTTTTAATTTTAATTAACTTAGTTTAAATTATGGTAAAGGATCTTTATTAATTTGATTTAATTATTTAATTTTGATTTTGATTATTTAATTACAACATTAAAACCGCATGTTTAGTCATTAAATATTTGTTTATATAATGCTAATGAAATACTTAATAATTTAAAATTTTTAACTCACGCAGAATGCAGAGCTGCTGGCATGATGGGGACGAGGACGCTATGGCGGCGCCTCCTATCAGCGCGACCACAGAAAATGCCAACAATTTAGGATCACGACGTACCTTTGGCGATATAACCACCAATCGGCTGTGGACGTTCCGCGTGCTGATGAACCAGGATATGGCTCCCAACGAACGGTTAGCCGTTGTGGGCAACTGCGAGGCCCTGGGCAATTGGCAGCATTCGGGAGCCACCCTGCTTTCCAAGCACAACAACGAGGAACAGGACGAGAATGAGAGCAATCTGTGGACAGGAGAGGTCTATGTTCCCCGCCACTGCGATACTGAATATCGCTACTTTGTCTGTGCCGTGGACCCGATTAGTGCAGAGCAACCGCTGCTGGTCCGTCGCTGGGAAACTCAATTACAGGTCTAGAGCAATTGAGTTTTTCTTTATTCCTCCCTTGAAATACCCGATGGAGAGTTCCGTTCCGGTAGCCTCTTATTTAAACCACATGAAATCCGAAAAATACACTAAAACAACTAAAATTCTCTTTTCCCTGCAGCCCAGGATCATCAGGGAGCTCGATGAGCAGCCTGCGAAGGAACATTCGGATATATTTGGCTCATTTCGTGGACAGGAGAAGGTGGACAGAGGCTGGCTGACCCAGGAGACGCTGGTTCAGCTCAAGTTCTTCTACGCCCCATTCACGTTTAAGCAGCGGATGAAGCGCCGGCATGTCCAAGTGAAGGTAACACCCATGAATCTAAGTATACCGAGCGCCGAGCGCAGCGAGTCCTTTGCACCTGTTTCCCCGCTGGAGGATTCCCTGTCCAATGACACGCATGACACCAAGGAGAATGGTGGCGATTCCGCGACGGCGTTTGCCTTTAGCGAGGTGGTGGCCTTGAGTGCAGATGACTGCGAGATCCGGGGACAGGAGCAGTTCGGCATTGGATGCGGGCCCAACGATTTGGTTATTTTCCACATGACCGTGGCGGATTTGGAGAACACTGCCTTCCTGATCGATCTGTACACATACAGCTCGCGGGTGGCCAAGGAGGACGGAGTGCCGAATCACTTGGGCTATCACTATGTCCTGCCTAATCTGTTCAAGCGTTCCGAGGGCCATCTGGAGCTACCCATCACCTGTGCCAAGGGTCATCGTCCGCTGGGAATGATGCGGCTGGGCTACCTCATTGTCAAGCCATTCTCCCAGTGCGCCCTCATGGATATGAGCGTCAGCTATGCCCGCTACTGGAATAATAAATGGACGGGCCTGGATGTGGGACATCGCGGCTCCGGTACCAGTTTCAAGGCCAAGGATGCTGTGATTCGCGAGAATACAATTACCTCGCTAAGATATGCCGCCGATCACGGTGCCGATATGGTAGAGTTCGATGTTCAACTGAGTAAGGATCTGGTTCCAGTAGTCTATCATGATTTCATGATCTACGTGTCCTTAAAGTCCAAGTGCAGCATGCAAGAGCATGACTTCCTGGCATTACCCATGCGAGAGCTGTCCTTGGAGCAGTTAAAAAAGCTCAAGGTGTACCATACGGCCGAGGGTCTGTCGAGGGAGACGCGGTCTTTTCACAACGACGATCTGCTGGAACACCAGCCCTTTCCACAGCTGGCCGATGTCCTCGACGCCTTGGATGTCCACGTGGGCTTCAATATTGAGATCAAGTGGTCACAGCGCCTCCAGGACGGTAAAATGGAGGAGGAGTTCGAGCATGTGGTTGACCGAAATCTCTATATTGACTGCATTTTGGACGTTGTCCTGCGGAAGGCTGGCAATCGACGTATAGTTTTGAGTTGTTTTGATCCCGACATCTGTACGATGCTTAGGTACAAGCAAAATAGATATCCTGTCATGTTCTTGACACTCGGCAGGACGACGAGATATGAGCAGTATTTGGACCCCAGGGGCAACTCGATGGAGCTGGCCGTTTGGCACGCGGTGGCAATGGAGCTGCTGGGAATTGTGGCTCACACGGAGGACTTGCTGCGTGACCCCAGCCAGGTAACACCCAACATGATGATACTGATGATGAAGAACTCGTGAACCATTCAGCCACGCTGGGACGCTTTTAGGTGAATCTGGCCAAGGAGCGGGGCCTGGTGCTATTTTGCTGGGGCGATGACAACAACTCCAAAGACACCATCAAGCTGCTAAAGGAGCTCGGTCTTCATGCCATTATCTATGACAAAATGGATGTGCTGACCACCAAGGAGGTCAAGGTGAGTGTGTCACTGCGATAAGCATTGACTTCTTAATTAAGCCGATCCTCTCTACTCACTCCCCTCTCTTTCCGTTTTAGCAAAGCGTTTTCCACTTGCAGGCCAAGGACAGTCAGAAGGAGCTGCTTAAACTGCAGGCCCTGGAAATGGGTCACGTCTGGCACACTTCTCCCGATGGCGCCGAGGAGCAGAAAGCCTAGAAAGCTGCCTGATAGCTCCATATTGATGCGAACTTCGCTAGGACCAAAATCTCATCTAGCCTACACATCTGCTGTTTATTTCCTCACACATTTTCCTTTAGCCAATTGCATTTGCTTTATTTTTTATAATTTTAAATCTTACAAAAAAAAAAAAAGAAAAGAAAACAGAACGGAAAACACTCACATGTCAATATAATAAGAGCTTGTCTGCTTCGAGCGCATATGCATTTCTGTTGCCAAAAACTTTTTTTAAATACACGTCAGCAAACCCTTTTTATGTAATTTTGTTGTTGTTTTTTAGGCGTATGTTTTTAAGTAGCCAAGGAAAAGAATGCTAATTAAAACCTACGGGAGCGGGGTTTTCTTTCCCTTAAGATTTTGGTGAATTGTAATTTGGGAGATCTGGAGATTGGGGACAAAAAGTATCAAAAGGTATACATATGTATGTATATGTATCCCTTGCAGAGCATATTAGTGTTAATCAGAAGCTTAAAACACAGTCAAGGAATCATTTCCGACCCTATAAATCATATATATTATTAATCAGGATCAACAGCTGAATCGATCAAGCTATGTCTGTCAAAAATTTATTTTTTTTTTAATTTTGAAGATTTTATAAAAGGAGTATGCAGATTTTTTAGCCTTCTAAAAAGTAGCATAGGAAAGCTTTTCGAATTGAAATTAAAGCATTTTTGGCTTAGTTTCACTTTTCCCAAAAATTATCATATAAAATTTTAGTTAAATCTTTAAATTTGAGGGTATTATATCTTCAATCAAAATAAATCCTATATATTCTTGATCAGGATCAAAAGCTGAATCGATCTAGCTATGACCGGCTTAATTTTTTAAGGGGTTACATCGTTATTATTATCAGAAATTGGAAAGAAAAATGTAATGTAACATTGGAATGCTTTCCGAATTAAAATTAATGTTATTTTGTCATAGTGATGAGTTTTTTAAACTTGATTTTCGCAAAAATGGTCATGTAAGCATTCTAGTTTTTTTTTTATGATCGGTTTCCGATTCGATCTTCTAATTCAATAGCAAACTCAAAGGGTATATATCTTTGGCTTCCCAAAGTTAGTTACCTTTCTTGTTTTATAACAGATTCGGAGCTCCAACCTTGGGAGAAACAAATTCCTTAATTGAAAACTTTTCATTACTCATACGCAGTGTTGGATTCTGGCGCCCGCAAGCAGGCGAATGTCAGAACAAAAGGAATTGTGTGTGAATAAGAAGAGGAACGCCGCTCACTGCGCATGCACTCGCCTGTCGATGAAGATGAAGTGGAACAACATCAACAACATCATCCCCGAGAACTGAGAGCTGAGAGCTCGAGAGCCGAGAGCGATGAAAAGTGAAGAAAATTCCGTCGGTGTGTGTTGGCCGAATCGGGTTTGTTTCGAAATTCCTTTTCAGTTTGTTAAATCGCCTCGAACGGTGCGGAACGCGAATGCGAAGAGAGCGGAGAGGACAACAGCCTGTAGTGAGAACGGAATGGATAACAGCCCGTAGTGAGAACGGAAAGGAGCGCAGGGAAACGGAGAAAGGAGGCCCACCAAACCCGAACGAAAAATAAATTAAAGAAATACACAAAAGCAGTGTGTGTCCAGTTTAGTGCAACTCCTTGATTAGTTTGTGATCCGAAAACACCGAGCATTTTCCAACTATGTCTGTGGGTCGTGCGCTCCGAGACCGCAGGATGAGGGAATAGAGGTGAGGTCCATGGACTATACGTGTCTGTCTAAGTGTGTGTGTGTATATGTATGGGGGACATGAGTCCAAGTCCGGCTTAAAGGAAGTTTCAGTGATACCCCTAAAAAATAATAAAAAAATTAAGTAAAGGAAAAAAAAGGAACGGAAAAATCGATGCGTGCGCGACACACACGTGTAAGGGGTCTCCGTTTACTCCGTGTGCTCCTCCTGTGCCCCAGTGTGTCGGTGTGTGTGTATATATCAAGTATACGCCAAGTTAACCGAGGCAGGCAACTTCATACCCACAACAAAAACAGAGAGAGGGAGAGAGAGAGAGCATAAAAGAGAGAGAGAGCAGTTACTACTACAACACGCTACTTACAAAACACTCCTGACCTACTGTGTGTGTGCCCCCCCCGCCGAGGAGGAGGCCGTTAAGCCACCTTCTAACTACTCTTACTTTGCGTGTAATGTTCTTTCGGCGGGTGGGGTAGGGCAAGGGGCAAGGGGCGAGGGGGAAGGGAAGGAAATATGGTATAAAAAATGAAAGAAGACCGACACCGAAAAACTCATTTTAAATACTTACCAAAAAGTGTGTGTTTTCTAGGGTAGCTCCGCCACTCATTAGTGTGTACACACACTCGCCTTTAAACTTATGAATATTAAAGCTGGACTCTTGGGTGTGCGTGTGTGTCTGTATAACACAATCATTAACATTAATCGCAAAGTGAATTCCGAATACCAGGCTGGGCAGTGTGTGTGTGTGCGGTGTCTTGTTTGTTTTGTTTATAAAGCCCCCTCCTCATATATGTACATATGTATGTATTTGTGAAAATCGTGTGTGCCCGCCTTGTTTTGTATTTTTATTGGCGCTGATTTGAGAATGTGGAATCGGTTGGAGGAGCATCAGCTAGCCAGCCAGCCGGTAGCAAGTAAACACACATCCAATGGACAAGGATGAGAGTCGACAACAGAAAAAGAACAGCCCGGACAGGCAGGCGGACAGCACAAGAAGCTGTTGCTCACTTTGTCTATATACAGACATGTACACAAATAAAAGTGCAGAGGAAACAGCAATAGTCTCTACTACTTTCAAAAACAATTATATTTCAAAATTTACGAAAGTAAATACCGCAGGATACACCGCTCAGAGATCTCGATATTACTCACGAATTCCAAGTTTATCATCTGATTAATCTTATATTTAGAGAACCCGATTATCCAAAAGTGGTTTATTTCATATTTAGTAGTTTTATTTTATGGGCTCTTATACAAGGCTATTTATGGAAAACGTAAAAAATACTTCATTATATTAGCATATTTTCTTACCGTGTACACATGCGGGTGTATCTAGATACATTTGTATCTGTGCGTGCGAGTGTGTAAACAATGCAGCGCCAAAACTAAATATTGTTTAAGAACAAATATTTTCCTTTTGTGCAAATCACGGAAAGGCAATTTCATTATTCCTTTACGTTCCGTTTTACTTCCTTTTATTTTATATTTATATATATAATATTTATGCATATATTTATATATGTATATTAAGGGTTCTTTTTTTTACGCACTACTCTCTGATATTGATGACGCTATCAATGATATTATTGTAGTCTATATTTAGTTCGATCTGAGTGGAAAAATAAAACCCAAACCGAGAGTGGGATGATCCGCTTCACGAGCTGCTAATGGGTCAATTCGGTTGAAGCGAATATTATTGCCCATTTCCCAGATAAATGGCTCTCTAGTTCGAGCGCTCAATTGCTGTTGATCTTTTAAATACATGTACAAATATCAATGCGGCGTAGAAAGGGCAAATGAAGTGAATCCAGGCATTGAATCATCGGATGCGGGGGCGGTGGAAAGATGCATCCATCAAAAGAGGTTCTTTTTCGGACTTCGACGAAGCTGGGAGCAACACTAGCCTCCATCCGGCACACTTTTGCACATAACTGAATCACTTATATTCATTATCTGACAGATAAACAAATAAACCAAATATGTGTGAAATAAAAACGTATATATACATATATATATATCTCAATGATTTGTATACACAAAATATTGATTTAGAATCGATGATTTGTATGCTTAAGATTAAAAAGGCCTGTAGGCCATGTGTGAGTCTTTCAATGCGGATTTTTGATTAAACTTAAGTTGCATTAATTAGTTAGAGGGTTCTTGAAAACTGAAAAACAGGATATACGCATTATTTAATCATATCCATGACGAAGGCGGTCCTCTGCCTATTTTCTTTATCGGTTTTTATTCCCGAAATAGTTGTGCGTGTGCATTAAATCGACTTTTTAATCAGCGCACACAAATAGAACAAGGAAGAAAACGAAGCTAAAGTTTGTATGCCCTTGCAGCTTGGAATTGAAGTTAAGAATAAGAATAATACATCGTTCATAATTAAGCTTAAAATATTCGAATTTTTTGAGTCGACATTTATTGATATAAATATATGGAATTTTTTCTACATATCAAAGCTTAAAAATTTCATAAGTAAGCCAAAATTGCATTAATTTCCAATCGGCAATCATTCCTATGTTAGTTTTTACCAGGTTAATAAATCTGCTCACTCAATTTAAAATTAAAAAAAATTAAAAATGTTCACCCCAATTTTTGACAATAAGAAAATGTTCAAAATTTTGAAAAAATTAAATTTAGGCCGGATATGGCTAGATCGATTCAGCTTTTCATGCTGATCAAGAATATATATGGTTTATAATGTCGGAAATGATTCATTCACTGCGTTTTAAACTTTTCACTGAAGTTATGTTACCCTGCAAGGGTAAAATTACAACGGTGCGTATACGTAATTTTTGGGACTATAAATGTCTAAACAAAGTTTAAACCATTAGGGTAGCTTAGTTCGCCACGCCGAATTGTACATACAAAAACAGTTTGCAATTAATTTTAATTAATTAATTTTAAGTAATTAATTTTGAAATATACGCATTCTTTGAATAGTTATTTATCGATATAAATGTATGACAATTTTTTCGAAAAATCAAAGCTTAAAGATCTCAAACTAAGCTAAAAAAGCAATAATTTTGATTCCGAAAGCATTCCTATGTTAGTTTTTATCGGGGTAATATATCTGCTTACCTAATCTAAAATTTACAAAAATATAAATTTTTAACAAATATTTGACAATTTTAACGATATAAATAGGTTTTGAAGCATTCGATAAATATGTATTAATTTGAAAATAAAATTCCAGCTTTTCGCAATCCATTAAAAACTGAAAGGTAAAATCATAAATATACATATACATACATGTATTTTATTTCAGCGCCATGTTGTCGAATGAAGCCCCAACTTAGTGAGTAGCTCAAGGCCCAGGGCGCAGCATTCCGAGGATGCTTTGGGTTCCTAACCGTTCCTAACCATTCCTGGTTGAACCATTTTCAAGTGGGAGTCCGCGGGATTGAGACCTGATCCCCATCTCCCTCCCACACCCCGGAGGTTGGAGCGTTGTGTCGTGTATGAGTGTCGAGGTGCCTGGGACGCGGGGCACGGAGAACTGTACAAATCGTGGGCAAGGACAACGAACAAATTTCAGGTTGGCCAGAAAAATATATGTATTATGAAAAGAAAAATAACAGGAGCTCTTAATCCAAGAAATTATCGAAAGTTAATTTTTTTTAAGTGTTACCAATTATGATTTATTTCAGTTGAAATATTTGAAGCTTAGACTTTCTTATTTCTTTCTGTGAGACAATGACTTATATACCTAAAAAAATGCAACACTATGCGCATGCAGCCATGAATCTCATCAACATGGACTCGGAGAACCGGGTGGTGCTCAATGTGGGCGGCATCAGGCACGAGACCTACAAGGCCACGCTGAAGAAGATTCCGGCAACGCGATTATCCCGCCTCACCGAGGCCCTGGCCAACTATGATCCGATATTGAATGAGTACTTCTTCGACCGGCATCCGGGCGTCTTTGCACAAGTGCTCAACTATTACAGGTAACGGCTTGCGGAGGAGATCTGTTCTCGAAAATTAATATCCAAATCTTTCAGAACCGGCAAGCTGCACTATCCCACGGATGTGTGCGGACCGCTGTTTGAAGAGGAATTGGAATTTTGGGGCCTAGATTCGAACCAGGTGGAGCCCTGCTGTTGGATGACCTATACGCAGGTGAGTCTGGTGTCAGGATCCCCTTTGAAATTCCTTTTTAATAAATAATTGATTTATTTATAGCATCGCGACACTCAGGAAACCCTGGCCGTACTGGATCGCCTTGATCTAGATACGGAAAAACCGTCCGAAGAGGAGTTGGCAAGGAAATTTGGCTTCGAGGAGGACTACTACAAAGGCACCATATCCTGGTGGCAGGAGATGAAGCCGCGCATTTGGTCCTTGTTCGACGAGCCCTACAGTTCCAATGCCGCCAAGGTATGGACACTACAGACCACAAATTTTATTAAACTATCATTTAATAGTGATCATTAATTATACTTTTTATTTATGTCATTCCATATTTGTTTATATATGTGTAAATAATACAAAAACACAATCTATTTATAAATAATAGATTTAAAATGCTTTATTAATTTGAAAATTGCTTGGAATTTGAATGTATATATCTTGGAAAATACAAGTACATTTATTTATAGTTTGGTTAATGTCAACCAAGCACTGTGCATGTTAAAGCATTAATCATTCCATGATATAATTAAAATATATACGTATATATTTTCCGTTTTGATGTAGGATTTTACAAAATATTTATAAATAATATACTATACTCTATTCCTCAGACCATTGGCGTGGTTTCGGTGTTCTTCATCTGCATTTCGATCCTGTCCTTCTGCTTGAAGACCCATCCCGATATGCGGGTGCCCATTGTCAAGAATGTGACGGTGCGAACTGCGAATGGAAGTGCTGCCTGGTTCTTGGACAAAACACAGACCAATGCCCACATAGCCTTCTTCTATATCGAATGCGTGTGCAATGCCTGGTTTACCTTTGAGATACTGGTAAGGGATCGTTTCCCTCTCTAAACCCTTGAGAAACTAAAACTACGATCTTAATATTGTATCTTTGCCCGCAGGTGCGCTTTATCTCGTCGCCAAACAAGTGGGAATTCATCAGGTCATCTGTTAACATCATAGATTACATAGCGACGCTTAGTTTTTATATCGATCTAGTGCTTCAGCGGTTCGCATCGCATTTGGAGAACGCTGACATCCTCGAGTTCTTCTCGATCATCCGCATTATGCGTCTGTTCAAGCTGACGCGCCACTCGTCCGGCCTGAAGATCCTCATCCAGACGTTCCGCGCCTCGGCCAAGGAGCTAACCCTGCTGGTCTTCTTCCTCGTCCTGGGCATCGTGATCTTCGCCAGCCTGGTCTACTATGCGGAACGCATCCAGCCGAATCCGCACAATGACTTCAACAGCATACCGCTGGGCCTGTGGTGGGCCCTGGTCACCATGACCACCGTCGGCTATGGCGACATGGCCCCCAAAACCTACATCGGCATGTTCGTGGGCGCCCTATGCGCCCTGGCCGGTGTACTAACCATTGCACTGCCAGTGCCCGTCATCGTCAGCAACTTTGCCATGTACTACTCGCACACGCAGGCCAGGGCCAAACTGCCAAAGAAGCGGAGACGAGTGCTTCCCGTCGAGCAGCCGCGTCCGCCACGACTGCCAGGTGAGGCGGGTTCCTAAACTGGGGAAAGATTATCAAGCATTTGCTTTATCACTTTTGTGATTTCCCTGCGCAGGTGCCCCTGGCGGCGGGGGAGTCAGTGGCTGTGGCACACCGGGCTCTGGCCCTCACTCCGGACCCATGGGCTCCGGCGGAACTGGACCACGTCGCATGAACAATAAAACCAAGGACCTGGTCAGCCCCAAGTCTGGTGAGTCTTGCCGGTGTCCCTTACTCGATACAGTCAGTCCCACGATCCAAGCAATAATGCAAGCCACCAAAAAAAAGATAAACAATGATAATTACTACCAAACGAATCCGAGATGAGCTTCTGAAAGGCACCAAATTATACATTTATCACTAAAAGAACAGCAAAACAACGACGTAATCGAGCCAAAGTACATTCCTAACCCGTCTTTTAAAGCTTGCACAGCTCGCACAGCCCCCAAGTTCGAGTTGTATGGATTAAGTTGGCAAAATGTATTCACAGAAATCCCAGTAATAATAACTACTCGTTCGTTATCCTTTGTGCCGTCTCAGTTTTATTGACACAACGAAGAAGAGTTACGCAACTTCGGCCCGTAACGATTAATAATGATCTTGGGTGCGCTTTCCCCCTCCGGCTATACTATATATATCCATAATATAACATACCATTCGTCGTGTGTACGTGTATATATGTACTCTATGTAATTACAATGCATTTAAGGCTTCTTTATTCATAACATACTCGGTTCATAATCGACTCATTTGATTCGAGCTTAGCTTTCATTTCACGCAATTGCATTCGAGAGTGGATTATAATGATGGGTGATGATGATGGGTAATTCGGAGAGGAACTCCATTCGTTTCTATAAATAATTACAATAAAAGTATAATATTCATTAATTATAACAAATAATAATTCGAGTCAGAGGAATTGTCTATCACTGTATTTCTGATAATAACGATATTTTTACATTTATTGTGATATTTCAATACCCTTGTAAGGTATTATCATTTTAGTCAATAGCTTAAAACATAGTTAAAAAGTAATTTCCGACCCTATCTATAATTTTATAATAATTAATAATTTTAGTTCAGGCATTGTAGTCCCAAAAATTACGTATACGCACCGTTGAAATTGTACCCTTGTAGGGTTTATAGTTTCAATCAGAAGCTTAAAACGCAGTGAAGAACTCATTTCCGACCCTATAAATATATTCTTGATCAACATCAACAGCTGAATCGATCTAGCCATATCCGGCTTAAATTTAATTTGTTCAAAATTTTGAAAATTTTATTTTATTTTTTTAATTTTAAATGGAGTATGTAGATTTATTAACCTAAGAAAAACTAACATAGGAATGATTTCCGAATTAAAATGAATGCATTTTTGGCTTAGTTAAGAGACTTTTAAACTTAGATTTTTATAGAAAAATTTCATATAAAAATATCGGTAGGAGCATTCTAGATTTTCTCTTTGAATTACCCATCGCCTACGTATAATTCCTCAGACTCAAAGCTCCAGCCATAAAGCCCATCATACATATAAATACCAGACCTCGACTTCCTCTCGACACCCATCGAAGGCATTTCTGTATATTAAAGTCATCGATCGAAGTTCAATCAGTTTAGGATCTCCTCCCAGCAAAATACAAGAACATGTATGGTATATAAATATATTTTACAATAAGCTATCTCTACAACGATTATGATATCCAGATACGAGACTCTATATATTTTTTTGATTTTACTTCAAATACTTTCGTTCTACCTTAATATAATTTATTTTTTCATTGATGAAACGATCCAATCCAAACCCCCCTACAAATCTTGTGTAAATAGATGAATATACAACCATGATTGGCAAACCGCGCGACGGCAAAAAGAGCAGGCTGCTCTAGGCCGTAAAAAACAACGACATTGTCAACATCAACAACAACATCGACAGCCACATCAGAACCAGAATGAAGAACCAATAGTATAACCATCCCCCCAGAAAGCAACTTCCAAGCTAAGAACTTTTCGACCTATATGTATAAGAATCTGGCAAACTGATCTATCTATGAGTAAACATGAAGGAGAACAGGACTGGATAGCAGAACAGAGATCGGAACGGATCACAGATCACAGAATCACAGATCACAGATCAGTGATCACATATCAGAGAGGATGCAGGATGCAGGAGCCTGTGGTACGTTGGATCGAAAGCTCACACACTCTCCTGGATGCCACATACCCATAGATATGATTATCAATATGAATTACTATATCGGAGACGTCTGCTACTGCTATCTACTGTTACTACTACCACTCCAACAACCTGCTATATAATCGTATATATACTACTCAACATTATGTAATTTTCTACGTGTTTTCTACTCTCTCTCTATATACATATATATATATATATATTTCTCCACCTATCTTTACATAAATAATATTATTATAAATGCTATATAGATATATATTATACATATATATATCGTGTACGTGTTGTTCTTCAGTTCTGGCTCGTTCGTTTCTTCGTTACCAATGTGTATTCTCTCTCTCTCTATCTATCTCTCTCTCTATCTCTCTTGTTGTGTGTGCGTGTGTAACTTTTGTGATTTAATTTTTTGGTTTTAGTCTCAACCCGAATCGGAGGATCCCTTCCCTTAGCTGTTAAATATTAAAGAAGACAACGTTGTATTTGTATTATCTCGAACTCTTGTATTTCAGATATGGCCTTCAGTTTCGACTAAATGACAGAAAGATATTTTGTAATTTCTCAAGACACAACAAAAATATATAAAAAACATAAAACTCGACAAGAAAATCGAAAAGAAAGAAACGAAAAATCAAAAATGAAAGCAAACCTCAGTAAATGTAAAGAAATAAACCTAAGAAAGACCTCCATCTATCATGCTACCTAACATCGTAAGAAAACCAAACCTCGGAGAATCTCTGCTGGGCGGGTGTGTGTTTTGGTTTAAAAGCCATTTTTAACCCCCTTCTTAACCCCACCCTCCCAAAAAATAAAAACTTTTGAATCTGTCGCTCTTTTCCGAACCCAAAACCCCGTACAAAAAGTGTCAAATAGTTGAATACCCTGGAAACCATATATAGTTTGTAGCGCAAGCAGAAAGCCCTGGCCCCTTATATTACCTTATTAACTTTAACTATATTTGTATATAAATACATATGTGATGCATGCTGCATGAGTTATTTACCTGAATTTGAGCCCGGAATCTTAGAGAGTGTGTTTGGTTTGGTTTGATGCCCTCCTAGTTGTTGCCCTAACATATCTATGTATGTCATGTGTGTGTGAGTTGTTGTGTTCGTGTTTGTGTTACACCCACTTCCCAGGAAACCCGGAACACCCACCGCCACCTCGTATATCGTACCTATATATATATCGTAGTAACCAAGTGCACCCAGTAATTACTATCAGCAAAGCCTGAACCCGCCCTCTTAAAACGTAAAACTTAAAACCTGCCAAGACAAAATTCAAGTTAAACGAATTTGGTAACTAACCGAAAGTTTCAAGAAAATAATATTTACTTTTCTCTCTCTCTCTTTCTCTCTCTCTTTCTTCCTCTTTTTCTTTTTCTTTTCCTTTTTCTTTCTCTGTTTGTGCCACTACACCTCTTCCTGGACTACTACCCCCACGCCACCCTACTATAAATATATATATGTTTATCTATTGTTTCCGGCTATATAACTCCACTTCCTGTACCTACTTCCTAACCAAAACCGAAACCCGACAACCGATAATCTCTTTCTGTTCCTTCTGTGTTCCGTTCGGGGTTAAAAACAAAAGTTGCTCAACTTTTCGCAGGTCCTTTGGGCGCTAGTATCGTGGCCATGAGTCCCAGGACAATGCTGGATCTCAATCCAGCCTTGGCAATGGGCAAGCCCGCGTTCCAGCCGCGTATACCCACGCCACTGGCCGCCACACCGCCATCGCACCAGGCAGGAGTCGAAACGGGAGGAGGAGTAGGACTAGGAGGAGGAGGAGGAGCTGGAGTTGGAGTTGGAGTTGGAGTTGCAGGAACCCCCGCCGCTCCACATCCGATGCCCAGCATTGCCGTGTCCACCACGGCCAGTGTGGGCAAGGACTCCGGTGTTTCGACAACCACCACAGCGGCGACCACGAACAGCGGCCTGGAGACCAGCAAGAAGGCCTTCCTCTAAACCACCAAGGAAGGAATGACAAAGGGCAGCCAAGACTCAAAAGCCACCTGATATCAATGTATATCCTATAGACCCCATTATCATCAGCCGGAAATAAGCAATATCTCGATTCGATATCATATAGCCTTCGCATACGTATAAGGAGTACTTCAGAGATGGCAAAGGATCATTGATTAGAGATCGTCTTTGTTTTATTTGACTCTCCCTTTAGATTCCCCCAATGAAAATGTAAATGAATATCATATATTCGCCCAGGTAAAGGTATAAATTTCTTTTAAGCAAAGGTCCCCAGGTGTTTGTGTGAGAAAGTTGTGCCTGGGTATCCACTGGCTCTTCAAAGGTTGTTTCTTGTTTCTTACAAATAAATGTAAAACTACATATTTTAGGATTATTATTAATTAATTATAAGTTCAACTGTATGTCATATCAGCGAAAAGCAAATTTGAAGCAATATCAAGGGAATAATGAATGTTTTTAATTACATTTTACGGTTAATTTACGTAAAATCATATCAGTAAATTATTTTTAAAGAGGATCTGTGGCCATCTCTGATCATAACTTTGTGTTGACCATATCACACGATCGAAACCTATCAATATCGAACGCCTAAAACATAACCCTAGCTAAAATATAGATAATCCAAAATTGCTTTTACCAAGACAGATGTTTTTAACCATATACGAGTATATATACTTACAACATATATTTACCTTTTGCAAGCTTACTAACGATCCAATTTTTTACATTAAATAGTTATTAATAAATCGCTGAAGAATGTACATAATCCTAGGATGCTTTATACTCGGTTTGCCAGTTCCTTATGCGTTGTGTAAAGACTCTAAAGCTTTAATTTAATATATATTTATATATGTATACCTATATATACATAAATTACTTGTAAACCGGAAAGGAACTCCAAAGAGAAGCTTTACCAGTTGAAGTTTTGTCTAATTAAAAACCGAATTCAATCACACACGCACACTCTTGGCTCTGAACTTTGTTTTAAAATTCACATGTTGACTTTAACTTTTCTGGCGAACTTAACAAGAACACAAAACAACAAGAATTAAATAGGTAAATAAAATAAATTAAGGAAGGTGCACAGGAAAATGGGGGAAAAACAAACAAAATTTCGCGCTCATCACTCACTCCTCATTCTGGGATAAGCACCTTCTAGACTCTTCTCCTCCCACCACCAAAAGTTGGCTAACCAATCGGGCTAAGAGGAGGGGCGGAAAATTAAAAATTGTTTTAAATTTTCACGGGTTTCAAAGTCAAATCTAATTTCTATCAAATGTGCAAACAAATAAGAGGCAGTTCCGCTTCCCCTTTCAGTTAATTTCAATTTGCTAAAAAGTTTACCAAACTGCTTCTGGGATCCCCCTTCATTTACACAATTCTCTTGTACATTTTAAATATAAATATGTTACATATATCTATCAGCAAGCATACATATATTTGTAAGAATAAAAATGATTATTAATAAGAGCAAGCAAAGGAAAAATGGTAATAAATAAATAAATGAAAAGTCGGAAAAACTTAGGCAACATTTTGGATCGAAGAATGGGCAACAAATAAACGAACGAAGCAAGCAAACAAATAAACAAAAATTTGTTAAGTTTTTACAATGAACAAACAAACAAAGCGTTATTAAGAACTAAATTAATATTACAAATATTATACTTGCAAGCTATATAGGAAATGGATACAAACAATTGTTTATATCGTTTTTCATTTACCATTTTCTCGCTATGATTTCAAAAGGAAATGCTGTTTTTTAAATTGTATAGTTAAGCAAATTGTATACTATTTGAACTAAAGCGGAAACAAAAACCAAAAACAAACGAAATTGTTCTCTCAATAATTCATGAACAACAAACAAATTAAACTAATTATATATACATTTATATATATATATATATATATACATCTATATATATATATATATATATATATATATATATATAATTAAAAAAAAACAACATAAAAAGAAATGCAATAAAGAAGTCTATTGAACACCAAACCCAGGGCTTGAATAATTTTCTTAAGGTGGAAAACAAATGTAAAAGTATTTTCATTGAAGTTTTGATAAACAGATATATGGCTTTATTACTTGCAGACGTGGCGAAAATAATACATATATATAATTGGAATGCATTATTATATCTGAATTTAGTAGTAAAATATTTAATTCCTCCATTCCTATCCAAAATCAGCATTTTATTTAATTTTCGAGTTCAAAATTCCATTAAAATTCCGCACAGAGAGGGCCAAAACCTGGTGGCACCGTGTCTGCTCGCTTTGGGAACCACTTTATGGCCACTTTTGGCATTTGTTTCGATTTCATTACCAATAAAAAAAAGTGCTATTGCAATAACACAGCCCAAAACGCTTAGCTCCAGCTCTGGGGGCCGTTCGGCAAACAAAAGGCCTCAACAAAATGGGAAAAAGCTACATTTTGGACCCTCAGGGGCCTGACCTTCAACACTCACTGCGGCATAGAGACCCAGATAAATGTTCGTAGGTAGTCCAACCAAGTGTAAATCTCCACTCACCTCTTTTTCGGCCTTTTGGCGATGGTCCAATAAAGCGCTTCATTAACCAGAGACTACTACTAACCCCCCTGTGTGTAAGCCAGCCACCCCGTCACCCACCACCCTCCACCCACCTCACCGTAAATAAAAGAGCAAAACGCCCCTCGACCTATCTCTATTCATCCAAAAACCAAAGCTATTCCGGACTCGCCTCAATCAACAGTTGGTTCCGTGCTGATTTCTCAGAGTGGGTGGTTTTTTTACCGTAAGAAGAAGAGCAGCAAGAATTTTGTATATTTTTTCACTATCTCCCAAAGCATCAGTTGGTTGACAGTCTCCGGGTGAACTAATAATCCATGAAATTTCAATTGCAAGTCAAAAATTATACGCGAGCTTAGTCTCTCACTCTTTCATTACACAAAGAAAAAAATGTGTTAGTAATTGTAAGCTTAAAAATAAAATTAAAAAATTAATTACTCTCTTACCAATAATTTTAAATCTTAATAAGAGTAAGATGAATTTGTTTTATTAGCACAAAAACATGGGGTATCTAATTGACAATTGCTATGATTTTTCTTTCAGTGCACTCATTGCTCTCCAGTGTAAGTTGTAATCATTGAGAGCTTTTTCTTTTTTGTTTTCTATGCTCCGGCTGGAAAAACATGGTGACTCTATATATATATAAACATATATAAATATATACATGGTTGTGTTTTTTGTTTGCCGACTATTTGCAGAGTTTTCCAGTTTTCGGTGAGTTTTCCCTTACTTTCCTTTCCTCTTTTTGCAGGAGAGGGTAAAAGCTCTCTCTCCCAGTCTCTCTCTTTGGAAACTTACTCAATGGAGCTCGCTCTCTTCAGCTATTTTGCCTATTTTGCATTGCCTCTCCCGTAGAAAGTGACAAAGAGAGGAGTGCGAAGTGGCGTTGTGGGTGTGGGAAAAGGAGGCACTGCCTGCCGGTCTGGTCTCTTTTATGACCAAAATGCGTGTTTTTCTGGCAGCGCGGATTCAGTCGAATTTTGACTGCCCGACGAGCAAGTCTCCGCCGCGCAGCTTTCTCTCTCGTCCGCGACCGCGTCGTTGCACGGTTTCTTTTCTTCGCATCTCCGCATTTCCCAAGTGCTCAATGTGACAATTTTCGCCCACAATTGTCCCCAAAAAAAAGAGTATAAATTTACATAAAATAGTATACAAAAAATAGTACACAAAAATAATAATAAATAAAGGAAAGAGCAGTCGTGCAAGGAAATAAATATAAATATATACAAGAAATTCCTGTGTCAAGCACCGACGGCAGCGCCGCAATGCTGCCGCTTCCGTGCATTCGCTGATTTTAGGTTCGTTGCGGGATTTTCCTATTTTGAATATTAAAAGCCAAAGTGCGAGGACGGACGGACGTTCAATAGCTAAAATGACGCTGACAGTTTTCCACGACCCCCAGCTCCCAGCTCCCCCAGTTCCCAGCTCCCCCAGCTCCCAGTTCCGTTCCCCGGCGCTCCTCAGGTTTTCCTTTGGCAGCGATTAAGACCAGTCAAAGTTGTTGGCCCGGCCCGTTGCCTGGCTACGTTTACAAGAGCCAAGAGATGCCGGAGAGATGCCATGCATTATACATAAGCTCTAGTAGTGAGAGGTTTGCACCGCTCAAAAAATGTATCATCAATTATTTACCACTTTTCACATGCCACAAAATAGTTTACAAATGTCGCACCTTTGAGTTGGTTACTTTAAACAATTAAAGTCGAACTAATAAAATTGAATTTTTATTATAACAAAACTATTTAAAGAAAACTCATTTTAAATATTGGTGTATTTAATAATATATTTTATTGAGGCTTATAAATAAAAACCTGTTTAAATTTATTAATATAAAGCGTTTAAAAAGGTAACTGTGTTACTATAAAAATTATATTGCATTCTTTCGGCATTACTTTAGTAGATTTTAAATCCTTGACAAAACTATATAGGTTCGTAATCTTTAGCAGATAAATGTTTTTAACTACTACTTTAAAACATGATGACACATCTTAAAAACGTTAAAATTAAATTTGTTAAAGTGCAAATTCATGGTGTCGCTCTTTGATTGGTTTTAATTCAGCCGACAAGTGTTTTAATATATTTAATAATAGGAGATTCCTATAATTATTTATCCCTACCAATAACTAAACTTTATACCACATTGGAGACCGCAAAAAACATCCTGTTTAATAAAAAATGATGATCGTTCATTTTAAAGCTTCAGTTTTGGAAAATGTAAGTAAACCATTTATATTTCTCTGGCAAACGCCCATCAAACATTATTGTTAGAGTGCTCTCAGTCGCAGGTGTACCCTCTTTCTGGCTATGACGCGTAATTACAAGTATTTTTGGCCAAAACTGACATGTTCAAATTCATTTGTCAAAGTTGATTAAAATTTTCAAGACTGATTTTTCCCTCTGTGTGGGATCGGGGGGTGGGGAGAAGAGGGGGGGCGATGGGAGGGAAAACCCGAGCGAGAAAAGAGTAAAGTGCTAGTGACTGCTGCTGGTCTCGCAACTAGATTAACTGTGAGTCTGAGCTTTTATTTTTCCCCTTTGTCCGAATCTTTATTATTAGCCGGCCACTTGGCGGCGCCCGGAGTGGGTCCCCTGAACATTTGGTCATTGGACACTTCGGCAGTCCGTCCGCACACTCTCGTTATATATTAATGACAATTTGCCCTGACAAATATTGAATCGATTGTAATGGTTTCTGGCAATGGTAATTGTAACTCGATGCGGTTAGTTACGGGGTATTCCGTATAATTGCGGTGTGGCTTTGATTTATTGAAAATGTGAAGCACAGGTCGTATATCGGATTAGTTTTGAATGGATTAAGATATTAAGTGTGCGGTTAGGTCGAGCATTTATTTCCATTTTTACGAGGCAATTATTCTGCTGCAATAGATTTCTTTATCAACAAAAATATTATGGTGAAAAGTATCCCATGATGTTTTGAAATTATTTCAAAATCATTTTTTAAAGGTTAATTTGCTTTCCAAAACTATTAACAAAATTTTGTTCTAGATAGAAAAATTCAAAGAGTATCATTCTATTTGATTTTCGGTTAACTTTTAAAAACCAGGTTCTTTTACATGACTTAAGCTAGCAATTAAGAACAAAGCCCCATTCGAAAAACACAAATATCAAAAGAAAATTAACATTTAAAGTTTACCCAATGGCAAGCGGCGAGTGACAACCTGACAATTACGCGAAAAACCCCCAACTGAAGCCGCACTGATACCGAAATAAATGGCGAAGGAAACTTTATGCCACAAAAGTCACAGTCCCCAGGAGTGCCAGGAGTTTCCTTGAGTTTTCCCGCCTGTGTCGCCACAAAACCTCTGGCATACTTTTAGGCGAGCGCGCTCGATTCTGTTGGAAAATGGCGCAGAAAAAGGGAAAAGAAAGGTTAAAGGAAAATAGCGCGGAAATCAAGGTATCCAGCGGGTCGAGGCAACGTTTAGCGCAGTTCTTCGGTTAATTTTTTATGCGATTACCCGGCAGGGCAGCTGGCAGGCGGCAAGCTGTAATTGCATTTTAATATTGATGATATATTGATGGCGACGCTTCGCGATGTGTGCTGGCTGCTGGATGGATGTGCTGTGTGTTCACTTCATTTATGAAATTTACATTTATTTCATTTAGTGACAGGGCCACCTTTTTCGGTTTTGATTAACGCCCACCGACGCCCCCTGATTGGCACGGCGCGGGGTCACGGACGAGCTCATTTGCATAGTTTGATTTCCCGATTCCCGATTGCCATTTTGGTATTCCGATGTTGACACTAGCCGTCAGCTGCGACAACAAGCGAAGCCAGCGAAAAGGTGAAAGCAATGCGCACTTTTCCGTGTGTTTTGTCAAAAAATCAATTGAACGTTCAAGTGTCAGTCAGTCAGGACATTTCACACGAACATTTTCCACTCGCCCTAACATTACACGCGGCGACAAATGCCACGAATAGGATAGGTTTGGGAAATGGCTGTTGTTTTGAAATCTCGGGGAAAAACTATATTAATTCTGTAGAGATTTATTTTATTTTCGACTCACTGTTCTTGAGTATACGGTCTAGGGAATTTTTAGGACAAACGGATGCTCCTCCCTTTACCTATTTTCCATACAAGATTTCTACGACTAATCCTCTGACTTTTCTACGAGTGAATTTTTCCATTTCCCATTTACAATATTAAATTTGTGTCGAAGGAGTCGTGACGAAGAGTTCGGTCCTGTCGTGTCCCTTTCCTAGTTTTCCCAGATTTCCCAGCTTTTCCTGCTGAACTTCGCACAACATGTTTCTGCTCCTCTCCTCCCCTCGCGCTCAC